TAGTGAGTGGAAGTGTGTTGGACATTGTATGATTAGCTAGGTAATGTCTGCCCCCATCTTTATATCGCAAATCAACTTACAACGTACATAAAGGAATCCCTTTCAAATAACTACCTGAACCCTCATCGATTGCATTGCTGACTCATTTGATAAAAGCGCATATTGGGTTCACAAATTCTCATTGATGTTATATGGGTTTGGCGAGTTTGTGAAATGACAATCAGTCATGCACAATGTCAAGGTAATAGAGAACCTGTGGGTGAGAAAAGTAACGTTGCCATAAATTCACTGATTATACCATTAGTTGATTATTTATCACTTGTATTGTGCTTATTGGCATAATGAGCTTTTATTGTTCTTGTGTGTTTATTTTCCGCTGATTATTTGTTCCCGATTGGCTCCTTACTTTGTACTCCATGTGCTCCACCAAAAAATCACATCAACAAATCTACACAATTGGCAACATGAGTGCCTTTGGTTCTATGGCACTACACTGGGTATAAATTTCAACTGAAAATCATGCCTTTACACATGCCAGGAGTTCGAGCCTTGTTCTAGTCTCATTTGGTCTAAAGACCATCGTCAAGGGTAAACTTAAAATGGAACAGGTAGATCTTCAGTTATTTTTCTTGTAAGCTTAGACACTCTACTTCCATTTATAACCAGGTGAAATGCGTCGGCATTGGGAAACATTTCAGATGAGGTTTTTAAAGAAAAGCTGTATCTTAGGCAGTCACCATTACTTTTCGTAGTCGAAATTTTTAATACTGTAAAACACGTCCTGTCTTCTCTAAATCAGGTTAATATAGAAGCATCATCATTAGTGATTTTACACTGATAAGAAAGATGTAACATATGCTAATATGTTTCTAATTTGCATATATGTTTGAATTTGACAACTTCATATTTCTGCTCATCGGATCATTAGTAAATTAAGGCTTTGAAGAAAAAGAAATACCTAATACTCTGAACAGAGTTAAGGACTACAATATGAGATAGATACCATACTTTCTTGTAGGGTTGTGCTTGCAAAGAAAATATATTTTTCTATATACCAGTACTTTCGTCTATAAAAAAATATTAACAAACTCGGCTTAACTCCTATGCCTTAAATTTAATATTAATATTATCATCATCTATTATTTGAAAACCTTTAATCTATTTTACAAAACTGTGATGTTTTCAACCCTTTCCACAAACAATAAAATATACTGTACTGTGTTAAGCCTTATTACATTGAACGCATAAATGTAAAAACTTGTCTTATTTTTCAAATATGATTGCAGTAATTATTTTTCATTTTGTAAGTAACAAAGAGTATATAAATAGCATTCCACCATCCACAATACATTGATGAAAATGATTTAGTTTTTTTTTTAGATACAGTGAGTTTTGGTTCAATAGTGTGTGTGTGTGTGTGTGTGTGTGTGTGTGTGTGCGAGAGAGAGAGAGAGAGAGAGAGAGAGACAAATGTTGGTTGGAAATCTGAAAAAGTGATTGTTAATTTAAAAAAAGACATTTAAAAAAAAATCAACATATAAAAGAGACATATTTTCTAGAAAGTCTCCCAAAATCATTTGTAAACATCATATCCTATCTTAACTGAATATATTTCAGCAGAGATGTCTGACACTATGTATAAAACTGCTTAAAACTAGGAGATCATTTAAAATCGTAAATTAATTAATGCATTTTCTACATGCTAGGCACGTCACATTGTGTGGTCTACGTGTATTTCTATGCAGATAGGCACAATTAAAGGTTAGCAAAGAGGTTAAGACAACAATTCTTCCTTTGTGATTTTAATGCCAAAATTCTTTTATGCGTTGATTCATACATAAAACTCATGGTGTTCAGAGAGTTCTGTTTAGAAGGAGTGTGCCAAAAGGTATACGGATGAAATTCATCCAAAACTGATCATCTGCCGGTAATTGGCTTCCACTGCCGGCGCTGGTCAATCCCTTGGTGGTGTTTCTGGGTCTTCCAGTTCTGCGTTCCAATTTAAATTCCTTAATATAGCTATACAATCAAACAATGCCACAAGATAAGAGCGTTTACCTTCTGCTCCGAACAATAAACATATTGTGAAATCACAGTACAAAACAAACAAAAAAATATAAATAATGCATTTTCGTGTGTTTTGTTGTTTGGGAATGTCAGCGATATACCTTTTGATCAACCTTGCTGTAGAATAACAAAACTGAACAGAAAGAACAAGACAAACAACACTATGTTCAATGAGAACTATAATAACTCAAACACCTTGATATACATATATGATAACAAAGCAATATATATAATTGTATTGTAATTTTTATTTTCCTCAATAAGTGTATATATCAATTATACATGTGGAAAGTGTTTTTCATACTGCAATCTGTTACCAGGCCCCTTGGTTTTCCAAGTAGGGTTTCATAAAAAGTTCATGTGTAGCCCCAAATGAATCAGAATTTAAGGATTTCCAGATATTATACCAACAAGGTGATTGCTAAAACCTAGACCACCTGATTATATAAAGACTTGTTTGGGGACCTTTGTTGTAGATATTTAATACCACGCACCCATATTAAATACTTGGATCAATAAATAATCTTCACGCAATGCTTAAACAGTAAAAAAAATTATTTTTTAATCAATTGATTTTCTTTCTTCATTAAGCAAAAACTGTCATATCAAAACATTTTATTAAAATTTCCTTTTTTTAACATAATGTAAAGGAAAAACTGAATTAGGTGACGCAAATAAGAGAAAACGTCCTTAAAGGGAAATATTGAGTCTTTAAAGCGAATTTTTGTAAACAAACTCATTCCAAATTAACAGAATTAATAACATATTTAAAATCAACATACAATGAAATGTGTTTTTTTTTTCAACTTTTTGCTTTAAATATTCCTTTTGTGAAATGAATATATGGACAATCGTGCATGGCAGCATTAATAAAAAAAAAAAAGAAGAAATACATATTATTATAGTGATCAAACAGTTTCCTTCGCCAATCAGTGAATGAAAATGTAGACAAAATATCAAAATAAAGCAAATTATCAACATAGCAAGTTAGAACTATTTTTGGGGGGCAATTGTGACTACACCACAAATCCATCTTGTGAATCTATCCTGTAGTAAGTTGTAAGATTTTGCTAAACGACTTCTTTGAGTTAAATGATCCTACACATAAATTATACCATAATTGTTTACTTGTTTTTTCTACTTTTTTAAACTGAAAAGATAATCAATAAATTAGTAAGGCATCTAAGGTTTATTTGGATCTCAACATAGAATAAAGTATAGAAATGTGCTTTAAAAATACAAATTTAAAAAAATGTGCACATATATGCCAATTTAATTGTCAGATTAAAAATATTCTTTTTTGTTCCCAGCCTCCAAGAGGTGCCCAAAATGCATTGCAAATGGATTAATTAAGTAGATGGCACATTCTATTGTTAATCTAGTACAGAGTGTTCTTATTGGCTTAACGCTGACTCATGCATCATTTCAAACATGAGCTGACGCCACAAAGTAGTTTCTTCAATCTTTCTATATTTGAGCCATTACATTAGTAATAGACTGATTTATGCTACATAGAAATAAGTGAGAATTATTGTCAGTTTCTGATTTTGCTAAATTGCTACTTGCATATATTTAACACATATATGATAATTTTAAATATATATATCTATCTATATATGTATATATACACACACATGTATAAATATATATATAAATTAAACATATATATATTAGGAGTGCAATTATATATATATACTTCAAAATTTATGTTATATCAAATATAAATAGACTTATATCTGATTGCATTTATTAATGATTGTATAAAAAAATATTTAAATATAAATAATCAAGGGTGAACAAATCTATGCCAACGTGCGAGAAAGCACGTTCGATTATCTTGGGTTGAGAATTTATTCGCTAGAGTTAGGGGTGGGCCACTAATGAAAGTAAATCCACACACATTTGCTTTCTCTACCAATTCCACCTCGTTCAGAACGCTACCTATTCATCCTGTCTACTGTAAAATCCTTCAAAAGCCATAACACACATAAGAATGCTGTTTGTAAAATGGATGCAAATTATCAAAGCCTATCAAAAATGTGAGACTTTTTTTATTTTTTGCTGCAAAAATGTTTATTTTTTTTTAATCTGCTTTATCTACCGTGACTCCTACAAAGATAGTTTGGGTATTAAAGACTTTTGGCTATATGTTGTTTTTATTTCAATATCTCCTATCTACTTGTTTGTATATTGACTGAATAAAAATATTTCTCATATTTTCCATATTATATTATATAATATAATATTTTCTAAAAATGTCATGATATAATATTTCTCCAATATTTATACATCGTCTTTTATTTTCTCGTTTCTGAATACCCAGATAAATGGTAATCCATATTTATTTAAAGTCTTAAATGGCTGACATATTAATTATTATTTTTTAATATTTATTTATTTTTAAAGTATTAGACAAAATTTGTCCAGTGTTCCGCTATCCACACTTTTTTTTGTAGTGCTAAAGAAATTCAAGTTTTAAGCAAGGACCAGAATCGATTTTGAAAAGCTACACTATGGCACAAGTTTTAGAATCTGACTAATTTAGTCACAAATAAATTGTTATTTTTTTATTTTTATCTTTAAAAATATATGAAATGTATTATCATAAAATCCTGGCGTTGTGGTGGCTCTGGAAACAGATCTCTGTCATATTATTATATACTGTTAAATTTATATTATAAGATCATTATTCATTCTCCTGTCCCATGTTGCCAGGAAAAAAATGTGATTTTTTTTTAGGGCCTTCCTGCCTCTATATGATGAATAATGTATTAATATTTCTAAGCCACAAGTACTGATGTAGTGGGTGTTACGCACATTACAAGCACTTACATTAATTCAGTGCACACACAGAAAAAAATTACACTGAAATCTGTACTTCAAAAGCCTCTAAATATTGGAGAGTTAATTCACCTGTAGCTTGACAGTGTAAAGGATGAGACAAGACAATGACAAAGAACAACTTTCATAATGATGTGTAATTCACAAGATCATTATGTAATTGCTTGGCAAGCAAAAATGGTTAATCGCCGATCAGAGCTGTGGGGCCTAGTCCGCTCTGAATCGACTAACATACCTTGTACAAATGGAACATATATTTTTTTTAATTACAGGGGGAAAAAAATAAATGAAAGAGATCACATTTCTTTCGGTACATAATTAAAAACATAATTGGAAGAAAAATAAAACATATATAAAATATCTAACATAATCCCAAAACTAGTCATTGCTTATATCATGGATATTTACATATATATATAGATTTCATTTAATGTAGTTATTGAGACAACGCAATAAAAGGAAATGTGTTTCTGTTAAACATGTGCTCTGGTAAATTCACTGAATTACAATACAATTATTCATCACAAATATTCTCTGATGTTAGCCGATCACTGGCCATCTGTCGTTTCTACTTTATAACACTAAGAAAATCTGAATGTTTTCATCAAGTTGAGATACGTAGGATGAAGTACCAACTTTATAAATTGCAATATTGTGTGAGATGTAATGAAAAAAAGATTTGTTCAGAGTTATTCGGGGTCAAAGATCCAAAATGGAGCCAAAGAAATTGCATGTCAGTAATTTTTCCGATAAAATTAAACTAAACCAGATATCATTGTACTATACAATATCCCAACATAGTTTAAAAAAACCAGAGTGTTTTGGTACCACTGCGATAGCTATCAAAGTGTAAGTATACCTGCCAACAAAAAGGCCAACTCTACGTTGAGTCCTGCTCTAACAATTCACCTTGCTGCTATCAGAGGCAAACATTTCTAACGAGGCAAAAGTGGATGTTTTCTTATGTACGATTCTCTTAGAATGATATCATAGACTTACCTAATAAAAAAGCAAGTATTGTAAACGAGTAAAGACTGATATAAGAGCACTATTAAGATACCTCCTCTCTAGTCATCTAGCACAAGTAATTCTTCAAAGCGATTTGCACTCATTTAATTTTGATTTAAAAATTAATCTGGTAGAATTTTTGTTTGATTGCATTTAAAATTCAATGGTGTCTTTAACATTGACAGAAAACCCAAATCATCACAAATGTTCATCACATGTCTACCTACCTACAAGCGTCAATATTAAATTATGTCCCATTACTAGTCGCTGTACACTGTGATTTTAAGGTTAAACTGTTACTCTGTATTTGGTTTTGTTTACGTTTCGCTTTATGCGCCCTTAATGCTCTATCACCATCAACAACTCTTGCCTGGGCCTTTTCTTTGAATTCAAAATTACTGAGTGTTATTCCTATCTGTAAAAATTATTTTACAAAAAATTATAAAAGGAGAATAGCTGTTCAAAGTTCACAGAATGTATTATTTTTTATTTATATATATATATATATATATATTAATAGCTTTTTGAGCAGCTATATTCATCCAGTGATACAGATCTAAATATTGATGTATGTATTACAATGTTATATAATACTTTTTATTGGACTGAAAGATTTGGAATATGCCAAACTTTATTAAGTTGATCCTTTTATTACAAAAAATAAAAGTTTGATAAACAAAACAGCTCCAAATAAATTGCTTGTTCTAAAATATTGTTAATCCAATAAACATATTAGCATATATTGCAGTTTTTTAATTTGAATCTATACACACATACAACATTGTATTTATATACTAAAGTATAAATGTGTGTTTTTATTCGAAAACAGTCAAAATAACATTTCGTCAAGGTGTAATTTCCAAAACTATTAACAAAAAACATAGAGGCCATTCCCAGATTTTAAGGTGTTGCACACTGAAGTTAAATGATTAACTTTAAGATCCAATATCAATGGATATAGATTTTATCTTCCCGTGAGACTTATGTCCATAAATAAATAATATATACCATGTGTTTGTTAAATAAATCACAGATTAATCTGAAACTATATATATATAAATATATAAAACACATAATAATAAATATCAAACAACTCGTATGTAGCATTTAACAAAACGTATACTGACTTGTAAAAGGACACTATATAAGAATTGCCAAATAAATATGAATAATATGAGTATATATGCAAAATAAATATATATATACTCAAATAAAATATGATAAAAAATATTTACAAGTCTGCAAATTGTCTGTGTACATTTTTTTAACCTAACTAAGATATATATTACAATGACTCCTACTATTTCATTACTGAGTATCTAAGCAGCAGAGCTTTGGACTAGTCCCCATCTATGAAGGCCTCCACCCTTTCCCTTTGCTGTCACAGAATACTCCACTATAACAGAACAGTAAATGTTATTGTATCTGCTGTAACAAGTCGCTCACAGGAGGCAAACTGTGTGCGTTTTAAGCTTTATTGTTTATAACTTTATTTATACGCTTAATTAAATATATTTAAACATTTTAAGTGCATTGATTTAATAAAAATAATGATTAAATCCTCATCTACACTTACGTATAACGTTGTATGTGTATTATATGTTTACAATATATACCGGTATGTATTGCTTCAAACCAGAGGAAGAGAGGAAATCTCTTGAAAGCTTGTCTTTTAAGTATTATCTTAGTCCAATAAAAAAGGCATCATTGCATATTGCAATACTCATTTGGCATCTTGTCTACTGGACTAATATAACTAATCCAATTTACACTATATATATATATTTATTTATTTTTTTATTATTATTTTTATTTTTATTTATCTATTTATGAAACCAGTAAAGCGGCACTCACCTAAATATGTATACATTATAAGGGTGCTGCTGGAACAAATGGTTGCAACATAAATAATCCAATGCATTCAGTGGTTAAACACCAATTTTAATGCTTACAAAATTAGATTTCATTTGACTTTAATAATATCTGACTTAGGCCATTAGAATTTAATCTAGTTATAGTATATGGTCAGACTTTGCATAAGTCTGCCATAACACCACTAGAATCCCAATGTATCGTAGTTTTACTAGTTGTCTAAGTCTAGTGATGCTCACTATTAATCCATTAAAACTTTTTTAATTGGACTAACAATCAGGCTTTTGGAAGCATCTCTCTCACTTTATATATAAATGTGCAACACCATGGGTTTTTGTTTAAATATATATTTTTTTCTCATCTAGTACTGTCATGGTACATTATTTGGCAACTTTACTCTATCCTAGAAGTGAAAGGCTTGGCAGTGTTTGATGGGTTACAGTCTATCAGTTCGATAGCTTGTACTATAAGTCACACATAATATGGTTCTATTTTGGAACTAGTTTTCCTGATTAAGGGTTCCATATTCTCCACCATTAGATATGATTGCTTGGTATTGTCTGTTCTGAGCCCTCTGCTCTCTGTTCACACAAGACAAGCTGGGAGAGAGCGTATTCAGACTTCAGGCCAGAAACTGTTCTAAGCTCCCACACACACTGGCATTGTCTGGCCTATCTGTCTTTGTGTGCCTGCTGTGTAACGATCAGGGGTTGACTTAGTATGGAATATGACAGATACACAACTTGTTCTGCATCTATCTCGCTTTATATAAAGTAACCCCATTCTAGAAGCTACAAACCCGCACAAATCTATAAAGCTTAACATCTTCTATTATCCTAAAGAATGCAAAAAAAAAACAACTTAAAGGTACAATGTCCAATTAATCATTCAGCTGAGGAAGGGATTGTTAAACTATCAAATATGAAATCCAAAATTCATGTTATACTGGAATATTTCTTACGTTTACATCGAATGATGTTACCAGCCGTGAGCTATCTTTTATGAAAAAAAAAAAATCCCCCCAAAACATCCAACAATCTGAAAATGAATAACATTTTCACATTTTCAAAATCCATGTGATATATATATATACAAAAAGTTAATCCATACAAAAATCAAATAGAGTATATTAAATTCTTTTTAATAGTAAAATACTATATTTATTATAGAATCAATATAATTGCTTATACAAAATTCATATGTATAATATTTATATATATACATGTGTAATATTTATTATTTTCCACAAGTATATTTTTAATAAACCTGTAAAACCGTCTGACCACTTTAAAACATTTCTGAATTCCTAAAACTGGAATGGGATTTTTGTTATGAAAAAATACCTACAGTCACACACCGAAAAGCAGAATAACAACTACAAAAATCCAACAGGCATTAGCAATTTAAATGCTACCATAACAATAAAACAGTAAAACAATTTGGCTACAGTGTGTTTTTGAATTTTACACACACTGAGCTGCAGCAAATTCTCCATTATTTTTACTTTCGTTTTAAATAAAATTTTAATGTATTAAGATTATTGGTAGAAAAGGGTCATAGGGCAAATGGTGAATAAATTAATTTATGTCCCCTCGGGCAAAAAAATTATATATATTATATATTTATATAGCATTTTGTATATTGCATATTGCATTTTATACACAACAACATTACTCAAGATTTTGTAAAAGTGTTTATTTCTTCATTTTTTTTTAACAACAAATAAAATATTGTGTCCATAGAAATCCCTAAACTAAAACTGTTTGACAAACAAACAATAACATCATTTTTTTTTATTGACACTCATTTCATCTGTAGACATTTTTTTTAAAACAGAATGCAGAAATTTATTGAAAATAAATAATTGGCAACTGTAATAGGCAATTTTGAATAAAATTGTTGAAAAAAGCAACTTTTAATGAAAATAGCGTTTATTATACATCAGGTACTAAATGAATAAAGTAAATGATCTTTTTTTTTCTTAAATTAATAACTTTAAAAGGTTTAATATACAAAACTGTACACTTATAAAGTTGGCAGAATTAATTTTCTTTTTTTTGTTTTGTTCTTATTTTGGGAGGGGAGTGAAGTTTAAATGTTGTTCCAAATGAACAAAGCTTGAGAATGGAACAATGGGTAGAAAATGAACTAAAAGTGGGTTTTAACTTTGTGAAATGGGCTAGAGGTGAGCTGGCTGATGATTCTGCAATTAAATGCAACCAATGCCCTGTATAAAGGTATGAGTATGAAATGTTTGGGTCATTAATTTATATAGCACAGTTTGTATTCATTTTAGCAGCTCTTTCTCTGTTTATCTGTATGTGTGTGTGTGTATGTGTGTGTGTGTGTGTGTGTGTGTGTGTGTGTGTGTGTGTGTATGTATGTGTGTATATATATATGTATATATATATATACACACACACACACACACATCATATTGAGTTACTATGTATAAACATGACAAATAGAGGATATGTCTATCTGGATTAATGTATGTGTTTGTGTGTGTTTTTGGAAGCTATGTATGTAGAAAATGTATCAAATAATGTTTCAATGTATCCAAAGGTATATTGGTGGGTTATATGGGAACAGAACAGACCCTTGCCTCTCTCTGATCTCGATATCTGTCCTCACAGCTCAATACAGGGTCAAATCCTTACAATAGGAGAGACACAAGAGGCATCAGCCGATGTATTTGTATGGCACAAAGGAGAAAAACAGCTCATTAAATTACAAATATATTTCCACAAAAATAAAAAAAATAAATTAAACAAAAATTAAAAATAAAATAAAAAATCATCCAAACTGGTGTTTTACTACAGACCTATTACTTATCCCTGGTAGCCAGAGAGGGTAGTTTTCTTCCTTCAATCTCCCTAATGCTAGATTCTGCATTGTGCATTTAACATGAAAAGTGCCAGTTTAAAGAACAAAAAAAAATTAAAATAAAATAATAATAGTTATAAAATAATAATTATAATAAAAAGCTATAAATGCATATTGATATCATGTTTAGGCATAAAATAAGAACAGAGTCCAATACATGGCATGCAGAAATGATTATTATAGCCAGTCTTCCATTAAATATTGCTGCAAGTGAACACACAGACTTCTTTTTTAAAACCATTTAACCATTTAGTTACCTGGTGTTCCTGGTAAAAGCTAATGACAGATACTGTATATCCTTCCTTGAACATCATCTAACATTGTAAATTCTAAGAGGAGACATGATTATCGTGGTGTTGGGGAGGAGGGAGAGTGGGGGTTGAGGGGGGAGAGCATCTGATCCAAGAAATACAAAGTATCTTCACAAATATTGTGTACAGGTTGTAGTAAAACACCTTAGACAATAAAGAATAATCCCAGATCATCTCCGACAAAAAAAAAAAAAAACAGAAAAAACAAAACAAACAAAAACAGCAACAACAACAAAAAAAATTAAAACATTAAAAAAAATGCAAAAAAAATACTATTCTATTGTAAAACAAAGTCACCTGATAAAAATGCGATGAAACCAAGGCGCAGAAAGGCAGATTTGGAGGCACAAATCGTTTCTGTCTTTCTGTGGAGACCAGAAAGACAATAAAACCTTGTTTAGAGTAAACAGCATGTATGTATATCAGTTATATTGCCAGCTTTGGAACATAGAGCTCCCATGTCTTATTTTCTTATTTTTGTTATTTTTAGGTTTATCTAGGTTTTTTTATGGTTTTTTTTTATTCTCTCCACCAAAACATAAGTTAAAAAAAGGAACCCTTTTAAAATCCACTGAATCTCCAGTTCTCACTGACCTCTGGGGATAGTCAAAGCTCATGACACGATGTATCTGTTTTAACACTGTGAGAATACACATCGTGTTGCTGTGGGTCACCCGGTGGAGTCATTCTTTTCTCTTTTTGTCTCCTGTTACAAAACCAGACACGAACCACTTCTTTCTCCAACTGCAGGCTGTCTGCCAACGAGGAGATCTCTTGGGCAGCAGGTTTGGGGCATTTCAAAAAGTGGGTCTCCAAGACTCCTTTCACACTCACCTCAATGGAGGTCCTTTTCTTCCTCTTCCTGCCCTGAGCAGCAATTTTGTCAATACTGGTGGGACTACCTGTGGATGAGTCTGCTTCTTCCAGCCACTTGTTCAGCAGAGGTTTCAGCTTGCACATATTCTTGAAGCTGAGCTGCAGAGCTTCAAACCTGCAGATGGTGGTCTGGGAAAAGACATTTCCATAGAGTGTCCCCAGTGCCAATCCCACATCTGCCTGTGTGAATCCAAGCTTGATCCTCCTTTGTTTGAACTGCTTGGCAAATTGTTCCAGCTCATCTGATGTTGGGGTCTCCTCATCAGAGTGGTCTTGGCAATGGTGGGACCCAATATCCCCATGGTCTGTGGCATCTCTGAGGACAGAATGCAAGCTCTGAGTGTTGCCTGATTGAGGTGGTGGGGTGAGCCCTCCATGGTCCAGCATTCCACTGACAGTGAAGCCAGTCTGAGAGTAGACATTTATAGGCTGTCCGCTGGAGGTGAGCGATGAGTTATGAGCTGGACTGGCTCCCCAAGCATTGGGGTGGTTGGTATGAGGCGAGTGATGGGAAACATGGGGCGACCTGTGGTGGATGATAGCCCCCAGCTGCAGGTCTTCTCTCCCTGGTTTAATATCCTGTTGGTCCAGAGGGCTGTTTCCTAGACTTGTTGACCAAGGATTGCCATCACTTAAGGTGGTCACCCAGTGGTGTCCAAGTGGGTGTCCATTGGTGGGAACTCCCTGCAGGTAGTCACTTTGTAGCAGTTTCTGTGGATTCCTAAAAGGGCTCCCTTGCTGCATTCCACTAGAATCTGCATGGACCAGGGAGCTGGAGCTTAGAATGCTGTAGGGATTGGAGGCAGCCGTGGCCATGCTCACTATGGATCCCCTACCAGTTACAATGTGGCAAAGGGAACAGTATCAGCCTTTGACATCTAACAAGGCAAGAGAGCCAAATCATCAACCGGTGTGTGAGTGACAGCCACTGCAGCCAATGGGGACTTCCCTTTCCTTGGCAAGCTTTATCTTCTGCCAATGGACCACCAGTGGGAGGGACTTCTCATCCCCCAGCCTGTCTGGTCCAGGCAGGAGTTAAACTAGCTGTAGCTGTAGAGGAAGTGAATGGGGCTGGAGTCTTTATTGGTTCCTAAACACTGAGTGACCAAGACACACTGTTTAACCCCTTCCTGCCGCATGCCATCCCAATTATGGAGGAAAAACACCATGTCAGCAATGCTATAATTGTGATTAATTCCCCACAGTGACTAAACATTGGCTCCTGCCTGGTGAATGTGCTGCGGAGATTGCCCAAATCTTACAAGCTGTCCTGTGAAACCCGGGGAATGCAGGAGAAAGGCAGGGACGATACAATGTATCCGAATACCATAGTAACCATTGAAAATAAACTACAGATTCTGTGTTTCTAAAAAAAAATTAGGTATATGTGTGTATGTATAGTGTGTGTGTATCTATATATATAGTGTGTGTGTGTCTGTGTATGTGTGGTATATTTATATATACATACAGACACACACAGGCACATTAGCTATGCATACATGTGTTTTGACACATTAGATAAACATGTGCTTTATAAACACACATATGCTACATTTGTTGCACAAAATATGTATACATTTTAATATTGATAAAATATTATGATACACAGCTATTATTTTACGGTGGCTTTTCTGTGCACGTTAAACAATTTTCCTTTTAATTTAATTTTCTTTTTCTACATAGCAAATCCGCACATTACATTTAAATTGAAATCATATTACAGGGGAAGCTAAATATACTGAAGAAGAAATAATAATAATAATAATAATAATAATGATAATAATAATATAAATAATAATGTCATTTTATGATGCTCAGATATGTTACCTTTTTCCATGTAAAATAAAGAGGGATTTTTCTATCCAGTCAATATCAGAGTATGCCCAGGCTGTAAAAATCAGAGACTTGTTTAATATCTTTTTTTAAATCTCCTCTGTAAAAAAAGAAGTGACCTTTATATATTCTTTTTTTTTGTAACAGGCAAAGTAACCTAGCTACCTAATTATATTTGCACTTAAAGCAGGCTGCATCCATTCTCTTATTGGTTTGAAATTCCATTAAATATATTGAGAGTGCTCCTAGGTTAAGCATGATTTAAATTTGCATACATTTTCATCTGTTTAGCTGAAATAAAAGAAGGGTGGCACTGAGCAGGAAGTCATTAAGGCTTTAGTTTAGTGAGAAGACAGTACTGCAGAAAATGCAGATATTGTGGGAGACGCTCACCAACACCCCAGAAAAACCAGGTGAGAATGAGTTTTAAAGAGATTCCATTGTACATTGCAGGCTGGGAAATCGATTGCTGTAACTGTCACCAGAAAACATCTGTAGCATCTATTGTTTTGTAAATATTATTATACACAGAGTATTCTAAATGCTGCTCTGTATCCATGTATCCATGGTTAAAGAAAAAAGCTCATATAAAGATTCATTTTATTGTTTGTTTTAACCATTGTATTACAGTGTGGGATTCAGATATGAAAGCGAAATTTTATTCTATTTTATTGGTTGTATTCTATCATTTATGGATTGGTTGTGTCTGTAGAAAGGAAATATATTCAATTAAATTCTCTTTTATTCACACATTAACATGTATTTTATATATATATATTGTGTATTGTAAGTGGCTTTACATTTGCTTGATCAAGATATACAGTAATTAATATTTTTATTCTTCATTGAACTGTTGTTTTTTATGTTTATAGTGATGTATTGTAGTGGTGTATATATGTGAAATACACAATATGCATGGAATGGCTATATATGTGCGTATATATTATAGGCGAAAACTTAGTTGGTATTGTTACACTTAACATATAGTATTGATTTAGAAAAGAAAAACACGAATATATATAATATAGTTATTAAGTGGTTTTAAAAATGTATCGAGAAATGAATCCAGGATGTGTATTCTCTATCCATGGGGGAAAGGAGATAGTTAAATAGAGATCACTTGTCAGTTGATATTCACTGCTAGTAGAAAGCAGGGAGATTTATATTTGAATGCTTTCTTCCTCTGTTTTATATTATGATTTATAAAGAGTTGAGTTGTGTGTGTTGTGTGTGAGTCTGTGTGTGCGATTGTGTGTGTCTGTGGCTCCTTGGCTTATGCTTACAGGATCTGCCAATATGTGTTTGATTGTGAGAGAGAGAGAGTCTGTGTGCGTGTGTGTGTGTGTGTGTGTGTGTGTGTGAATCTGTGTGTGTGAATCTGTGTGTGTGTGTGTGTGTGTGTGTGTGTGAATCTGTGTGTGTGAATCTTTGTGTGTGTGTGTGTGTGTGAATCTGTGTGTGTGTGTGTGTGAATCTGTGTGTGTGTGAATCTTTGTGTGTGTGTGTGTGTGTATGTGTGTGAATCTGTGTGTGTGAATCTTTGTGTGTGTGTGTGTGAATCTGTGTGTGTGATAGTGTCTGTAACTCCCTTTATTTTGCCTGCAGGTTCTGCCTGTATGTGTGTCTGATTTAAGAATGAACTATTTAAGCTGAGATCTTGGTACAGTCTCCCCCATTCTCTGTTGTGGGCACTGAAGATCTAGGCAGCAATTTGTTGCATCTAATGTTTGACTGACCCTTTAGTATTTTGGCACTATGCTATAGATGCTCGTTAGGATTGTGAGGTCTGCTACCCTAATCAACGCTAAATGGTGATCGATTTTTATTTTTATTAAAATATTTCCATGTGACAGTATGTCTGGTGCTGTGTACAACCTATTTTTAAGTGATGGAAAACAAGTGGTTTGGGACATCCTTATTGGTCCAATGCCAGTACAGACACCTCTAATACGTTTCTATAGCATTTCATCTTCTTATTATTGGGAGTTGGTTTTACATCTATGTTTTTGTTTCATGGTCTCTATAATCCCTGCGGTAAGATTAGAGGCTGGGTGTTTCATGGTCTCTATTCCTGTTGTAAAATTAGAGGCTGGGTGTCTGGTGGTTTCTATAATCCTTACCGTTAGATTAGATTATTTTGGTTTGATTGGAAGTAAAACTCTTGCACTGAGATTAGAGGATGCTACTTTTGGTAAAATCTGTAATTCCTGCAGTAAAATGATAGATTTGGCGTTGTATGGTCTCTATAATTCTTACAGTAGGTTAGAGACTCTATATTTGATGTTTTCTTTAATTCCTTCAGTGAGATTAGAGGATCGGGGTTTAATAATTTCTGTAACACTTGCAGTGAGATTAGAGGGTTTAATAATTTCTGTGAGATTAGAGGGTTTAATAATTTCTGTAACACTTGCAGTGAGATTAGAGGATGGGGGTTTCATAATTTCTGTAATTCTTGCAGTGAGATTAGAGACTGGGGGTTTCATAATTTATGTAATTCTTGCAGTAAGATTAGAGACTGGGGATTTAATAATTTCTGTAATTCTTGCAGTGAGATTAGAGGATGGTATAATAATTTCTGTAATTCTTGCAGTTAGACTAGAGGCTGTGGGTTTAATAATTTCTGTAACACTTGCAGTATAATTAGAGGCTGCATGTTTCATGGCCTCCAAAATTCTTGCAGTATAATTAGAGGCACGTTTCATGGTCTCCTTAAGTCTTGCAGTATAATTAGAGGCTGCATGTTTCATGGCCTCCATAAGTCTTGCAGTATAATTAGAGGCACGTTTCATGGTCTCCATAAATCTTGCAGTATAATTAGAGGCTGCATGTTTCATTGTCTCCATAAGTCTTGAGTTAATTAGAGGCACGTTTCATGGTCTCCATAAGTCTTGCAGTATAATTAGAGGCACGTTTCATGGTCACCATAAGTCTTGCAGTATAATTAGAGGCTGCATGTTTCATGGCCTCCATAAGTCTTGCAGTATAATTAGAGGCTGCATGTTTCATGGTCTCCATAAGTCTTGCAGTATAAGTAGAGGCTGCATGTTTCATGGTCTCCATAAGTCTTGCAGTATAATTAGAGGCTGCATGTTTCATGGTCTCCATAAGTCTTGTAGTTTAATTAGAGGCTGCATGTTTCATGGCCTCCATAAATCTTGCAGTATAATTAGAGGCTGCATGTTTCATGGTCTCCATAAGTCTTGCAGTATAATTAGAGGCTGCATGTTTCATGGTCTCCATAAGTCTTGTAGTTTAATTAGAGGCTGCATGTTTCATGGTCTTCATAAATCTTGCAGTATAATTAGAGGCTGGGTATTTATAGTCTCTCCACTTTGAACATGGTCTCCATAAGTCTTGTAGTTTAATTAGAGGCTGCATGTTTCATGGCTTGCAATAATTTGATAGATGATTCTTTAACACACTATAATAGTGTTTCAGACATCCCATAATTGTTTCATTATTGCTATACTTATAGAGGCTAGCCTCCAGAAGATTTTAATTGTTACTATGTGTGGGGCAGAAACTGTTGCTTTTTATTCAATACCAGGTTCTCCATATTGCTTTCTATAATATTTAGTCCTCTCTAAATGTTTTCTGTATAAATGAAGACTATATATTATTATTTATCATCTGTGTATGGCGGTGTTCTCTATAAGATTAGAGGCTGTGTATGGCGGTATTCGCTGTAAGATTAGAGGCTGTGTATGGCGGTGTTCTCTATAAGATTAGAGGCTGTGTCCTGGCCTGGTGTTCTCTATAAGATTAGAGGCTGTGTACGGCGGTGTTTTCTATAAGATTAGATGCTGTGTATGGCGGTGTTCTCTATAAGATTAGAGGCTGTGTATGGCGGTGTTCTCTGTAAGATTAGAGGCTGTGTATGGCGGTGTTCTCTATAAGATTAGAGTCTGTGTCCTGGCATGGTGTTCTCTATAAAATTAGAGGCTGTGTATGGCAGTGTTCTCTATAAGATTAGAGGCTGTGTCCCGGCATGGTGTTCTCTATAAAATTAGAGGCTGTGTACGGCAGTGTTCTCTATAAAATTAGAGGGTGTGTACGGCGGTCTTCTCTTTAAGATTAGAGACTGTGTACGGCGGTGTTCTCTATAACATTAGAGGCTGTGTATGGCGGTGTTCTCTATAAGATTAGAGACTGTGTACGGTGGAGTTCTCTATAAGATTAGAGGCTGTGTCCTGGCCTGGTGTTCTCTGTAAGATTAGAGGCTGTGTATGGCGGTGTTCTCTATAAGATTAGAGGCTGTGTCCTGGCCTGGTGTTCTCTGTAAGATTAGAGGCTGTGTATGGTGGTGTTCTCTATAAGATTAGAGGCTGTGTATGGCGGTGTTCTCTATAAGATTAGAGACTGTGTACGGCGGTGTTCTCTGTAACATTAGAGGCTGTGTATGGCGGTGTTCTCTATAAGATTAGAGACTGTGTACGGTGGAGTTCTCTATAAGATTAGAGGCTGTGTCCTGGCCTGGTGTTCTCTGTAAGATTAGAGGCTGTGTATGGCGGTGTTCTCTATAAGATTAGAGGCTGTGTCCTGGCCTGGTGTTCTCTGTAAGATTAGAGGCTGTGTATGGTGGTGTTCTCTATAAGATTAGAGGCTGTGTATGGCGGTGTTCTCTATAAGATTAGAGGCTGTGTATGGCGGTGTTCTCTATAAAATTAGAGGCTATGTATGGCAGTGTTCTCTATAAGATTAGAGTCTGTGTCCTGGCATGGTGTTCTCTATAAAATTAGAGGCTGTGTATGGCAGTGTTCTCTATAAGATTAGAGGCTGTGTCCCGGCCTGGTGTTCTCTATAAGATTAGAGGTTGTGTATGGTGGTGTTCTCTATAAGATTAGAGGCTGTGTCCTGGCCTGGTGTTCTCTATAAGATTAGAGGCTGTGTCCCGGCCTGGTGTTCTCTATAAAATTAGAGGCTGTGTCCCTGCCTGGTGTTCTCTATAAGATTAGAGGCTGTGTCCCGGCCTGGTGTTCTCTATAAGATTAGAGGCTGTGTATGGCGGTGTTCTCTATAAGATTAGAGGCTGTGTATGGTGGTGTTCTCTATAAGATTAGAGGCTGTGCATGGCGGTGTTCTCTATAAGATTAGAGGCTCTGTATGGCAGTGTTCTCTATAAGAGTAGAGGCTGTGTCCTGGCCTGGTGTTCTCTGTAAGATTAGAGGCTGTGTCCCGGCTTGGTGTTCTCTATAAGATTAGAGGCTGTGTATGGCGGTGTTCTCTATAAGATTAGAGGCTCTGTATGGCAGTGTTCTCTATAAGATTAGAGGCTGTGTATGGCGGTGTTCTCTATAAGATTAGAGGCTGTGTATGGCGGTGTTCTCTATAAGATTAGAGGCTGTGTATGGCGGTGTTCTCTATAAGAGTAGAGGCTGTGTATGGCAGTGTTCTCTATAAGAGTAGAGGCTGTGTATGGCGGTGTTCTCTATAAGATTAGAGGATGTGTCCCGGCCTGGTGTTCTCTGTAAGATTAGAGGCTGTGTATGGCGGTGTTCTCTATAAGATTAGAGGCTGTGTATGGCGGTGTTCTCTATAAGATTAGAGGCTGTGTCCTGGCGTGGTGTTCTCTGTAAGATTAGAGGCTGTGTATGGCGGTGTTCTCTATAAGATTAGAGGCTGTGTATGGTGGTGTTCTCTATAAGATTAGAGGCTGTGTATGGTGGTGTTCTCTATAAGATTAGAGGCTGTGCATGGCGGTGTTCTCTATAAGATTAGGGACTGTGTATGGTGGTGTTCTCTGTAAGATTAGAGGCTGTGTATGGCGGTGTTCTCTATAAGATTAGAGGCTGTGTATGGTGGTGTTCTCTATAAGATTAGAGGCTGTGTATGGTGGTGTTCTCTATAAGATTAGAGGCTGTGCATGGCGGTGTTCTCTATAAGATTAGGGACTGTGTATGGTGGTGTTCTCTGTAAGATTAGAGGCTGTGTATGGCGGTGTTCTCTATAAGATTAGAGGCTGTGTATGGCGGTGTTCTCTATAAGATTAGAGGATGTGTATGGCAGTGTTCTCTATAAGATTAGAGGCTGTGTATGGTGGTGTTCTCTATAAGATTAGAGGCTGTGTCCTGGCCTGGTGTTCTCTGTAAGATTAGATGCTGTGTATGGCGGTGTTCTCTATAAGATTAGAGGCTGTGTATGGTGGTGTTCTCTATAAGATTAGAGGCTGTGTATGGCGGTGTTCTCTATAAGATTAGAGGCTGTGTATGGCGGTGTTCTCTATAAGATTAGAGGCTGTGTCCTGGCCTGGTGTTCTCTGTAAGATTAGAGGCTGTGTATGGCGGTGTTCTCTATAAGATTAGAGGCTGTGTATGGTGGTGTTCTCTATAAGATTAGAGGCTGTGTATGGTGGTGTTCTCTATAAGATTAGAGGCTGTGCATGGCGGTGTTCTCTATAAGATTAGGGACTGTGTATGGTGGTGTTCTCTGTAAGATTAGAGGCTGTGTATGGCGGTGTTCTCTATAAGATTAGAGGCTGTGTATGGCGGTGTTCTCTATAAGATTAGAGGATGTGTATGGCAGTGTTCTCTATAAGATTAGAGGCTGTGTATGGTGGTGTTCTCTATAAGATTAGAGGCTGTGTCCTGGCCTGGTGTTCTCTGTAAGATTAGATGCTGTGTATGGCGGTGTTCTCTATAAGATTAGAGGCTGTGTATGGTGGTGTTCTCTATAAGATTAGAGACTGTGTACGGCGGTGTTCTCTATAAGATTAGAGGCTCTGTATGGCAGTGTTCTCTATAAGATTAGAGGCTGTGTATGGCGGTGTTCTCTATAAAATTAGATGCTGTGTATGGCGGTGTTCTCTATAAGATTAGAGTCTGTGTCCTGGCATGGTGTTCTCTATAAGATTAGAGACTGTGCATGGCGGTGTTCTCTATAAGATTAGAGGCTGTGTCCCGGCCTGGTGTTCTCTATAAGATTAGAGGCTGTGTACGGCGGTGTTCTCTATAAGATTAGAGGCTCTGTATGGCAGTGTTCTCTATAAGATTAGAGGCTGTGTATGGCGGTGTTCTCTATAAAATTAGATGCTGTGTATGGCGGTGTTCTCTATAAGATTAGAGTCTGTGTCCTGGCATGGTGTTCTCTATAAGATTAGAGACTGTGCATGGCGGTGTTCTCTATAAGATTAGAGGCTGTGTCCCGGCCTGGTGTTCTCTATAAGATTAGAGGCTGTGTACGGCGGTGTTCTCTATAAGATTAGAGGCTCTGTATGGCAGTGTTCTCTATAAGATTAGAGGCTGTGTATGGCGGTGTTCTCTATAAAATTAGATGCTGTGTATGGCGGTGTTCTCTATAAGATTAGAGTCTGTGTCCTGGCATGGTGTTCTCTATAAGATTAGAGACTGTGCATGGCGGTGTTCTCTATAAGATTAGAGTCTGTGTCCTGGCATGGTGTTCTCTATAAGATTAGAGGCTGTGTATGGTGGTGTTCTCTATAAGATTAGAGGCTGTGTCCCGGCCTGGTGTTCTCTATAAGATTAGAGGCTGTGTATGGTGGTGTTCTCTATAAGATTAGAGGCTGTGTTCTGGCCTTGTGTTCTCTATAAGTTTAGAGGCTGTGTCCCGGCCTGGTGTTCTCTATAAGATTAGAGGCTGTGTCCCGGCCTGATGTTCTCTATAAGATTAGAGGCTGTGTCCCGGCCTGGTGTTCTTTATAAGATTAGAGGCTGTGTCCCGGCCTGGTGTTCTCTATAAGATTAGAGGCTGTGTCCCGGCCTGGTGTTCTCTATAAGATTAGAGGCTGTGTGCCGGCCTGGTGTTCTTTATAGAATTAGAGGCTGTGTCCCGGCCTGGTGTTCTCTATAAGATTAGAGGCTGTGTCCTCTATAAAATTAGAGGCTGCGGTGTTCTCTATAAGATGTTGTGTCCTGGCATGGTGTTCTCTATAAGATTAGAGACTGTGTATGGCGGTGTTCTCTACAAGATTAGAGGCTGTGTCCCGGCCTGGTGTTCTCTGTATAGAATTAGAGGCTGTGTCCCGGCCTGGTGATTCTCTATAAGATTAGAGGCTGTGTATGGTGGTGTTCTCTATAAGATTAGAGGCTGCGTCCTGGCCTGGTGTTCTCTATAAGATTAGAGGCTGTGTATGGCGGTGTTCTCTATAAGATTAGAGGCAGTGTCTGGTTCTCTATAAGTTCTCTGTTCTCTATAAGATTAGAGGCTGTGTCCCGGCCTGGTGTTCTCTATAAGATTAGAGGCTGTGTCTCCTGCGTCCTCCTGGTGTTCTCTATAAGATTAGAGGCTGTGTCCCGGCTTGGTGTTCTCTATAAGATTAGAGACTGTGTACCGGCCTGGTGTTCTCTATAAGATTAGAGGCTGTGTATGGTGATGTTCTCTATAAGATTAGAGACTGTGTATGGCGGTGTTCTCTACAAGATTAGAGGCTGTGTCCCGGCCTGGTGTTCTCTACAAGATTAGAGGCTGTGTATGGTGGTGTTCTCTATAAGATTAGAGACTGTGTCCGGCCTGGTGTTCTCTATAAGATTAGAGGCTGTGTATGGTGGTGTTCTCTATAAGATTAGAGGCTGTGTCCCGGCTTGGTGTTCTCTATAAGATTAGAGGCTGTGTCCCGGCCTGGTGTTCTCTATAAGATTAGAGGCTGTGTATGGTGGTGTTCTCTATAAGATTAGAGGCTTTGTCCCGGCTTGGTGTTCTCTATAAGATTAGAGGCTGTGTCCCGGCCTGGTGTTCTCTATAAGATTAGAGGCTGTGTCCCGGCCTGGTGTTCTCTATAAGATTAGAGGCTGTGTCCCGGCCTCTCTCACTCACTGCAATGGTTTGGAAGAGGTTTCCGTAGCCCTGTGCTGTCAGTCTAACTTCCCAAGTGTAACAGATGCGGTTCTCAAGCAGTTCTTTCTGCTGATTTCTTTTATTCAGTCTCACATATTTCTCCCCATGATCTGTGTTTCCATAGAGAGAGGGATAAAGAGGGGACCATGGCCACAAATCTCCTGCTCTGTTGAGAATAAAAGAAGCCTTTTTCAATAGCTGACCTCGTCTGGACATGGAGAAAGAGCTGGGAGCTGAGATACTGTTACAAGAATCGCACAGATTCTCTCAAATCACTACATTCAGATATTCATTTAAATCTTTACTTTCACAATGAGAAATATTAGCATCTTTTTCTTTCTGGGCAATAACCATAACTGTGGAACAAACACACCACCTGGTAATTATCTGGGGGCTGGGAGCCCCTATTATAAGAAAGTGCAATTTCCACCTTTAGAATTATTAATGGACAGATGGTTATATTTTAGTCAATAAAATCTAAAGAAATAAAAAAAATGGGGGGCACAAAAATGCTCAAAAATGTATTTAGAAAAAATTAAGTTACAATTAAGACTTCCCTTCCCTATAAACTTATAGGTCTTTCTTATACACACACCTAAGTTCATTATAGAAATGTACATAATGAATTACCTACTATTTATATATAGGAAAGGAATGTTTTAATTACTTTATTGTTTCTAAATAAATGATTGAGCATTCTGTGCCAATTTTTTTAAATTTCTTTATATTTTATGCATTCAAGATTAAGCATCTGTCAAATAATAAAAAAAACAAGTAAAAAATTAAATTAAATAATATATATATAGATATATATATATATATAGAGAGAGAGAGAGAGAGAGAGAGAGAGAGAGAGAGAGAGAGAGAGAGAGAGAGAGAGAGAGAGAGAGAGAGAGAGAGATAGGGAGGGAGTTTAAAAGTTGCAAACTATTATATTCTTAAATTATTTACTATTATGTGTGTATGTGTCTTTGTGTCAGGTACATGTGTGTCTGATGTCTGTGTATGTTCATATGTGCTGCTGTTTGTGTTTACTGTCTGTGCCTGATGCCTGCATGTGTGAGTGTGTATGTAGATGTGGCTGTACCTTGTCTGTCTGTGTGTGTGTGTGGGTGTGTGTGTGTGAGCCTAAGACTTTGCACAGAGAGAGGCTGGGGCTGATTGTGTGCAATTGTTAAATACAGCATGGGACTGGGAGCACAGAACCTGTCACTCCTGGCATTCAGTGTCCTGACATCTATAGAAGGACCTTCACCTCCAGCACAAGTTCACTTGGAAGCAAGACACAAGGGGTTGGGTTTGGTGGGAACAAGTGCAGGAGCAGCACAATACAAAATAGCCTGTGAACTGTGAAGCCAGCTTGCAGGTTTACCCCTGATACAATGAGCTGGGGAGACTGCAGTTATTGGGGTGGAACAGCTGCTGTCAGCAGGCAGGGCTGAAAATGATCACAGATTTCATCCCTGGACCCACTGTCTGAGCATCAAAGGCATTTATTATTGTATGTATGTTCCTATTGTTGTTATCATTATCACCTATTATAGAGGGTTCCCCTTCTAGAACACTCAGACAGGTTCAACTTACAGACCAAGTCACCCTGAGCAGGCAGCACCAAGATTTAATCAGGGACCCCTCTAATTAAAGGATAAACTGGCTTGGTGGCTGAGACTCTTAGAATAAGGGGCAATTTATTCTAAACCACACACAAAAAGAAACAGGTTATCAGTTCTCTGTATTCCAATGCATAACAAATTCAGAACGAGATGTTTTGTTTTTTTTGTTTTTTTTTAAAGATAAATTCGATTAGATTATTTTGGTGTAAAGTAAAATATTGAAAAGGTGTACTTTTTATGTTAAAAAAAAGTTTTACAAATGCAAAACATTATGCATATTCAATATTAATAAATACAGTATTCACTTCAAAATTGCATCTCACTATTCCTGTACAAAGTTGAAAACATTACATATATATTTAAAAAAATAAAATAAATAACGAATTCTTACAATTTAAGGCTGCTTGGTGTAAATTGTCCCATTAAATGTAAATAATAAAATATCTCTGAAATAATAAAAACCTTATAAATACCCAAGTGATTTTCAACTCAGAATGTCCATTGTTGCATGGTACAAATAAAATGTGTTAGCGAAAACTTTTTGTACCGACTAAGAAAACAAAACAAAAAAACAATCAAAAACAAACATACCAATAACAAATAATATTTACCTAGTTACGAAACAAACCCAAACTACAATTGTCTGTGTAATCGGTAGTAATGCATTTCTAAAGTGCTCCCCCTTCTCTGTGTCTCTAAATATCTAATAAACCTCCTTTTTATTAACACTATAGCTATCAAATTTAACTTGAACCAACTTACTTTATTATTTATATTTAAACTTTCTCCCCTCTCAACAAGACTCAAAAAATTCAGGAATTTTAATATCTGAAATCTACTAAAAAAATGCATCTTTTATTAAGCTATATTTGTTGTTCAATAATAGATAGAATGTAACTTGTTGTTAGACAGACGTTCTAACCTATTAAATGTCGTACGTCTCTAGATGAATAAGAGGATCTGATGAGTCTAATTGAGGTGAAGCTCTCCCTGTGTGTGGCGAAAAGTCCTTTTAAACGTTTAACCCTTTTTTAAATCATGATAGCTGTGAAAACTTTATCCGTGCACAATTTCTTGTCCAAAACTTTTTCTAAATAGCGATTTCAATCCAGTTCTACAAAATGTAGATGAATTTAAAAAGAAATTAAGAAAAATGAACGCTAATATGTTGCCCAAGTAACTGGTAAAATACATTTTAATATTAATTTAATAATAACTTAACAATTAAGGTATTGATACAAAATGTTCCTTATTATATGCAAAAAAAAAAAAAATAGTGAGTTTGTTGTATTTAAAAGAAAGAGCTATACATTGTTTTGCCATTTGTTAATATTTCAATAATATTTCGATTAATTAGATCTGATATTTGATTTAAATTCTAGTATCTTATATCTGATGAATACAGATAACAATATGTAGAAATAAATGGCGATTTTTAACTTTCAGTTGATTAACTTGATTTGTAATCTCAATTGAATGAAAATGAAAAGTAATATATATTAAGAAGAAAATATGCGTTTTGAAACAAAATGTAATTGTTATATTTTCTGTTCAAATTTCAATGTACATAAACAAATAAACTGAAATACTCAGGGTGAATTGGTGGCACTAAATATTGTCCCTAAGCAATGCTTATTCAAAAATTACTGTAGAATACCACTAATCCTTAATAATTCGTAATCACCCAATACACAGAGATATTAATGAACGTGTATATTCAATAATCTCGTTATATACAGAGTTACCACAGAACTGCATATTCAGTAATTACTGTAGAATATAAATATACCACTAAACCTGTATAATTCATAATTACACAATATGCAGAGATATCATGCAATATACATAACAGTCAGGGAACCTGTATAATCTATGATCACACAGTATACAGAGATACCACTAAACCTGTATAATCTATAATCACACAGTATACAGAGCTACCACTAAACCTGTATAATATATAATCACACAGTATGTAAATGTAGGTGTATGTAAATGTTCTGAGTTATTCCAGTAACCAGGAAATGGCATGAATTAATGAGGAATTTGAAATCTGAGGACAAAAAAATGCCAAATTAGAAATATTATGCAAACCATCTGGTTTCCCAGTTTAGTTTCTTCAATCTAAAACTTGACATCTTCTGGTTAATTCTGGATAATTACTGTTATAGTGAATAACCTGGTTTGGATTTGTTTGCTAGATCCATGTTTTGCTGCTTCTTCAAATTAATGGGCATCACATGTAAAGTGCTGCCCTGCATTCTCTAGCATTTCAATTCTACATTCTACAGGGCAAAACGTTTTGTGCACTGCCCATCAGTATGTAGATATTATATGTGTCCAGGAATATGTGGTATATCGGGGAACCCTATCTGTGGCAGCTCCCAATGTCTCAGACCCAGGCTAAGGTATGATTCTGACTCAGATTGCTCAATTCTGACACGAAATTTCAGTTCTGGCATTAACTAATAACAGCGAGGGGTAAACAAGAAACCCAAGTGTCCAATTAAAATTTAGAGCAATTCAGTCTCTTCTACACACCACAGACAAACCTACACACCATAGACACACCTACACACCATAGACAAACACTGTACACACCATAGACAAACCTGCACACCATAGACCAGGGGTAGGCAACCTTCTGCACTCCAGATGTTGTGGACTACATCTCCACAATGCTCTTACACCCATAATGCTGGCAAAGTATCATGGGAGTTGTAGTTCAAAACATCTGCAGTGCCGAAAGTTGCCTATGCCTGCCATAGACGAACCTACACACTATAGACAAACCTACACACTGTAGACAAACCTACACACCATAGAGCTGCTGTATGTCCACATAGCTATGTGGAAAGTTAATTTGAGCAGTTCTAAAAAAAAAATCTACACATGATTAAAAAAAGAAAATTAAAGGGACACTATAGTCCTATATTCCTATATACACTATATACACTGTTTTCCTCCCTTGCAACTATCATTAGTCTAATACTATCCTTACCTTTTTGTGTCATTTTACCCCACTCCCTCTAGCATGTAAGCTAATTGAGCAGGGCCCTCAACCTCTTTGTTCCTGTGTGTCCAACTTGTCTGGTTACAACTAAATGTTTGTTCGTCCACCCACTGTAAAGCACTGCGGAATTTGTTGGCGCTATATAAATAATAACATAATAATAATAATAATAGTCACCAGAACAACTACAGCATAATGTCATTGTTCTGGTGAGTATAGTCAGTTCATGCAGGCTTTTTTTTTTAATATAAACACTGCATTTTAAGAGAAAAACAAGTGTTTACCTTGTTGCCAGTGGCAGTCTCTCAGTTGGCCACTAGTGGTGCTTTCTGGGGCCGTGTCTCACAGTGTACCGGACTGATGTTCAGTGATGCACTGATGAGGAAATGCTAATTGGTGCAGTGCAGCATTTTGCCGCGCATGTGCAATAGCCTCCCAATGCTTTACTATGGGAGACAGGCAGGGCCAACTGAAGTGAGACCTGCGTAACATGGGTAAAAAGATGAGTTTAAGCATCTTTTTACTGCGATCTAGGGGAAGCTGGGGAGCTAAACAGTTATTATAATACTCTGTGTCAGGAATACGTTTGAGTTTCTGACACTATAATGTTCCTCTAAGTTTCATAAAACGTAATAAACTTTTTTTAAAAAAATTTGATGTAAGTTGTCTTTTAATTAATCTTTTTTCACATATTGCGATTTACTATGTGTATATTTGTTCAAACATTATATATACTGTATATTTTTTGAGAATAACATTCAATACCTCCTTCTAAAATAAGAAATCTACTAGATTTGTGCATGGTGGAAAAATTTGGTTTGATTGAATCGATTCGACCAAAACTTTAATTTGACTTTGATGATTGAATTTGGTGGCATTTCTGCTATTCTGAATTTCGGCCATGCAACCAATTGGAGGAAAAAGATTTGGGTGAAACAAAAAGGCGTGAAAATGAGCTTATCCCTATACTGCAAAATATATAAATATAAAATTAAAATTTCTATATATATATATTTTGTAGTATACAGAGAGGATAATTTTTTTACCTGTTTGATGAAGCTGATTCTGGCTGGAATTTGGTTGACCAAATAAAATATTTCGACAATATTTTACCTTTCAAATTTGGTCCACATTCTGTCAATATTTGTGATTTTGAGCATTTGGTTACTTTTAAGCATTTGTTTGAGTATTTTAAGCGTTGGGTCTGGATGGTCACTGGTTTATTTCTTTATTATTTCTTTATTTATTTTATATAATGGCTGTTCCCTAACCATCAATTATTTCTTTTTTGACATTATGGCCAGAACTCATGAATCAAAGGAAATTGTTTATCCATTGTCTGTTGTTACAAACTATTGGTTACTGTTATTGGATCGCTACAACTCAGAAGCGAATGTTATTCATTGTTGCATTTCACCCAGAGTTTGACTACAGTACAGGGATTTGGTACCTAACTCCCGAACTACGGATCTGCTGTCTATTCGTTATACGAACGGCAGACCACCAGGATCTTGGCATGTGCCGCCACTTAACCCCGGTCACCCCTGGAACAACCGAACGGCCGACCACCCTACGAGCAGAGTGTGTCTCCACTTAATCGCCCAGAGAGTTGCGGTCTGCAGTTAACCGCAACCTAATTGACGGCAGCAGGGCATTCACGTTCGTGCCCCATCACCCGATACTCTAACTACCTAACGGGTACCGAACAAGGGCCACCTACAGCCTGGCGTGTGGCTCCAATTAGAATGTTGGTTTCTGTGGTTAACCGCAGGTTAAGTGCCCCCTCCCAGTGGTCTTCATTCGCCTCCCGAACAACGGAGACATCCAGCGACGGAGCGGGGATTCGTGCAGACTTCTAGCCGGTTCCTGTTCCACAAGTTTGAGAGTGAAGTCCCGCGGCCTATTAGTCTACCTCAAAACATGGCCACCATCCCACGCTCAGAACCCAAAGACACGAAAAGACTTTGTTTCGAGGAAATGAAGCGTACCATTCGTGGATTCTGAGCGCTCTTCGGTTAATTGTTTCGCCTCAACCGGGGCTATGTAATGAATGGTGGAAGAAACGAATTATGGATAAAACTGTTATGTATTTTTATTCTGCTTTCTATGTGGCAAAAACACGTGGGTTTTTTGGGCGCTTGGAGATAATTGTATTGTCATAACCGTTGGATTCATTATCTCCAAGCTGGGCGGTGACGATTTCAAACGATGCTTTGCATTTCTATTGGTCCCCCACTTGTATTGTCCCTGTATCCCATCAGGTCCAGAGGGGGCTGTCCCTGGACCTGAGATTTTGCATAAATATGGTCCCCTGTGTGTCATTAAAACCAGTTCTTGCTTGACCTTCAAATCGCATCCTCGACTCGTTTTGTGGGGAAAAGGGTATCCTAGCTGTATGATAGCTAGTGGGATTGCTCTACATTTACAGGATTCGTATGGAATAACTACCGAAGTGACTCTCCGCCTTCTCTGCCTTTGGGATCCAGACCATCCAAGTGGTCCAGCTTCCAGCTAGCCTGGGGGTAACCGTAACATCTCTGTCATTTGTTTTGTTATACGGTTTGGAGTTACAGAATTTGAATGACCCGCCAATCGGCTAAAATTTGAATTTGATGAAATGCAATATGTTTGAAACTGAATGCGCAAGTACCTACCATACACAGTTTATCACATGTCAACACTCCCATTAGTGAATATAGATGTGTAAGTACTAATGTTTGTGAATGTGTAAACTGTGTGTGAATGTCTACGAGTGTGTAAATATATATATATACCGATGTGCATTTGCACACATGAGCGTTGTTGGTGGAGGGCTTTAGAGGCTGCAATTTAGATGTGGGATTGATAATATGGATTACCACAAGGGTCATATTTTTCCTCTACTTTGTTAAAGTTGTCTAGAATCCCTCATGGTAACACCTATTCTTCATTTACTTCCTGCTAACAACACTGTTGATTCTAGACACGTGACCATAATACATTGGGGAAATGAAGCACTTCTCTGCAGATTTGTAGCATTTAAAAACCCCAGGGCATCCCCCACCTTAGTCGTTATATGCTAGCTATTGCAGTAAATATTGTGACACAGTAAATGGGGCTTTGGGCTAAAGACCCAGATTTTTTTGGAGTCTAACACCGGTTCATACACGTAAAAACATACAAATATGAATGCCTTTGTACATGTTCATGGTTTCAATGTATCTTATAGTTAAGATATATTCACAGATGGGTAGACTAGACCTGGGCCTTGGGTGGAAAGATATGGGAAGGGGAGGGAATACATAGTGCTTTTCTCTTTTTAAACTAATAATGTTATTCTCTGAAATCAGCTGCCTGGGATCATAAACATTGCACTGAGTGAGTGGTATCTCTTCCTCCCAATGTGCAGCTACGTGTGTCCGTCTTCCCCTCCAGGAGCAATCACTCCCTGCTCCTTTCTAGAGTTTATTCAGCCAGCAGTTAGCGCACTGCCCAGTATCTCTACAAAGCAGTAGGGTTACTAAAATGTAAACCCACCACACAAGCATGGCATCATGGGTATAATGAGAACAAATGTAAAATCCTGTCAGTCTCTGCCTGTCACCCTGAATGGTCGTACAGAGGGCAGGAAGGGGTGTGTGCATTGCAGCGATGGCCACTCTAAACGGCCTGCTCCTGCAGACTGCTATTTCCATTAGTTCGAAGAACAGACTGTCATGGTTGCAGTTAAAGTCATTTCCCAATGTTTTGCACTTTTTGACCAGCATGATAAGGGGCCTTCCGCCTGCACCCTCCATGCTGATTCCTAGCAGTGACTTGCTAAATCTGCCTCTCTACAATGCAGTCACCATGGGGCAGCCACTATAGGACTAGTATGGGAGCAAGGTACACATTGAAAACCCGAGCCCGAGCTAAGTAGTTAATCCATGTTAGTATACTTTGACAACTTACCTGGGTCCTGACGTTTGCCTGTGGCGGTCTTGTCTCTTTTTTGTCTGTTTCTCACAATCAGTCTGCTATACACTGTAGCTTTCGCTCACAAGCTGTCTGTATGGTATCTGGGGAAAGGTAATGGCTGGGGGAGCAATACAATTTAAGTTGTGGCTTGTGGTGTGAATTAAATGGAGACGAAAGGCACCTAGACTACTTCATTGAGACAGGTGTGGTTGCCTTTAGCGTTCCTTTAATTCTTACCGAATGGCAATGTTTACATTGCAGGTTTCACACACCTCTAGTGAATGTCTTCCTGGTGCCACCAAAGGCACTTCCTGTGCTGTAACCAAGTTAAACTCGGTTATAGATCATAGAGCAGCATTTGATTAGGGCAGCATGACACTTTCTTCTATGGGTAAGCATTGGATTGGCTGAGATCGTCAATTTTTATGATCTCAGAAAAAGAGGCAGAGCTGCAACAAGGAGAGCAGTAAGTAATACTCACCTTTCAAGCACAAGCAGTAAGTAATACTCACCTTTCAAGTGGGATCACCTACATAGCTAGTAAGAAATAATAGTGTTAGGAATACATGTTTGGTTATCAATGAGAGAGCTAGCTTAAATAAGAATTTTCCAATGAGGAATGTTTAGATTTATTATGTTGTAACCAGTGGTGGGAGAACACCATGTACACACACCTCCCAAGTGTCCCTATTTAGAAGGGACAGTCCCTATTTTGGGCTCATAGCTCTCTGCCCCTCTTTTCTATCTCAATGTCCTTCTTTTTAGGAGCTCCATATTGCTGGTGTGTATACATGTATAACAGAGCTCCACAGCAATACTACTCCCAGTAATGTGTCTTTAAACTACAATAAATGTGTTTAGAAATCAGTCTGTGTAAATAAGATACATTGTTACTGATCTAAAGTATATAAATTGTTATTAGTAAGTCAACTAAAATTTCTCAGAACAGCTCTGCCCCTGGCCACACACGCTAAAATGTAAGTGTTCCACTTTGTCCATCTGTTATGTTGCGAGGTGTGTGGACATGGGTCTGAAGGTTATGACAATCAGGGGTGGGGGCACACCGTTTTGTCCTTGGACCCAAACAGCACCATTTCTAGGGCCAACCCTCATCCAGTGTTGCAACTGCTTCAGCTACAAAATAAAAAAAAAGGAGCAGGTAGGGCTCGGGAGGGTAGCTCCCACTAAGCTCTGGCAATTTGAGATTTTAAAGGCAGATATGTCATATTTTTTATCTATCTATATATATATACATGTAATACAATTTATCAGACATAATGAATGGTTTAATTGTTACCAGTATATGTTTATTATTTTAATATGCTTTTATGGAAAATATATTTTATTTAGTTAGTTTTAGCTGTTTGTATATAGTTTTATTTGTCTCATTTTTTTCCCTTTTAATGCAGATAGCAGTCCTATACCTATTAATAGCTTAGATTACATTTTTCAATTAAACCCTTTAATTAACTCTTCCTGTACCATGTTATCATTTTTTTTTTTAAAAAGCTTATATTTACTTGCTGAAAATTGAATAGTTGAATACAGACTGAAGTTTTGTTTGAATGGAGAAATGTTTCAGAGTATTAGCATACAGTGTCCGATCAATGTGTTATTTCAGAAAAATGGGAAAGTCAGGTACGTCCAACAAAAAAACGTTTGTTAACTACCTCGGACGTACCTGGTACATCCGCGGCAAATGTGAGCGCTGGAAGCGATCGTTATCGCTTCAAGATGCTCTAACGGTATTGCAGCGATGCCTCGATGTCGTGGCATCCTGCAATACCTCTCCTGACTGCCCGGCCATTGGGTGATCGCTCCTCAGGAGCGATAACTTCCGTGTTGCCCCAAGTGGCGCCCGGTTGTGTAACAGATCATCGGAAGCCAATCGGGCAGGCTTCCAATGCTCTGCCTGTGTGCTGAGTTCCTCAAGGGGTCGGGGCACTCCGTGAAGATTAAATAATAACTAAAAAAAAAAATAAACTAATAAAAATTCCTATTCGTTCCCCCGAGGGTGTTCGGTGTTCCTCTCCGTCAGGGGGGGGACTGTCTGACAGTCTTCCCTCTGCATATTAGGCCGCCGTTGGCCACATGATTGCTCTGAAAGAGCGGTCGCATGGCCACAATAGGCGTCCATAGTGTAGGCAGTCTCCCTGCTGCTGTAAAATAAAAAAAAGTTTTAAAATAAAAAATAAATGTTAATAAATAATAAAAAAAAAAATATATGTGTATATATATGGGATATATATACATATATTATATCCATATATAATATGTATATATATATATATCTTATATATAACATCAAACTAAGTGTATTATTTTATTACTATATACATATATTAATATAAAAATACACTTAGAGTAAAATTACACACGTATATATATATAATATATATAAACTATATATATTGTGTATATATATATATATATATATATATATATATATATATATTATAAAAATAAATAATAATTAATTAAAAATGAATTAAAAATGTAAAAATAATAAAAAAATAATATTTCATATATATATATATATGTAATTGTATTCTAACTGTATTTTGATATTAATATATATATATATATATATATATATATATATATATATCTCAAAATACATATATCTTTGTATATATCAATAAATAAGTAAAAATAATACGAACTATACATAATTCCATAAATAATTTCATAAAGATACACGTAGACTTCAAATATATAAATATGTATATATATTTAAATTCTATGTGCATATTTATGTAATATTTTAAAAATTTAAAATTAAGTAATTTTATTGATATTGGAACCTGCCTGACAACCCAGGCCGAAAATCCAGAGAATTTAATTTGCTAGCACTATATTTAACCCTGTAACTTTCCAAGACACCCTAAAACCTGTACATAGGGGTACTGTTTGACTCGGTAGACTACGCCGAACACAAATTTTAGTGTTTCAAAACAGTAAAACATATGACAGCAATGATATTGTCAGTAAAAGTTAATTTTTTTGCATTTTTCACACTTTCACTGATGATATAATTGTTGTGATACCTTTTACTGTTTTGTAAACACTAATATTTGTGTTCAGCGAGGTCTCCCGAGTTTTACAGTACTCCTCATGTACAGGTTTTAAAGTGTTTTTGAAAGTTATGGTGTCAAATACAAGGCTTGCTTTTCCATTTTTTTCACACTGAAATTTGCCAGGTTGATTATGTTGCCTTTGAGAGCTTATGGTAGCCCAGGAATAATTACCTCCATGATGGCATACCATTTTGCAAAAGATGACAACCCAAGGTTTTGTAAATGGGGAATGTTCAGTCTTTTTTAGTAGCCACTTAGTCACAAACACTAGCCAAAGTGGCCTTCATAATAGTTTTTTGCATTTTTAACACACAAACAAATATAAACGCTAACTTTGGTCAGTGTTTGTGACTAAGTGGTTACTAAAAAAGACTGGACATCCCCAATATTGAATACTCTGGGTTGTCTACTTTAAAAAAATATGTACATGAGAGGTGTGATTCAGAGATTTATGACAGATAGCAGTATTACAATATCATTGAAACAGTAATGTCCTACTTGTACTTATAGCCTAATAACTTGTAAAAGAAAAGCTAAGAACATGTTAACATTGGGTATTTGTAAAAACAGGACAAAATATAGATCTATTTAGTATGGTTTTTTTTTGGGGTGGGTTGTAGATGCGTAACAGATTTTGGGGGTCAAATTTGAAAAAGTGTGTTTTTTTTAAATGTTTTCATCTTTTTTTATAAATATTTTGTAGTAAATTATATGATATGATGAAAATAATGGTATTTTTAGAAAGACCATTTAATGGCGAGAAAAACGGTATATGATATGTGTGGGTACACTAAATGAGTAAGAGGGAAATTACAGCTAAACACAAACAGCGCAGAAATGTAAAAACAGCCCTGGTCCTTAACGGCAAGAAAATTGAAAAACGGTCAGGTCACTAAGGGGTTAAAACAAAACAGCAAAAATCATTACTATTCCTTATTGAATTAAAAGTTTGAAATGTTTAATTATATCACCTAAAAAAATAAAATTTCTTAGCAAGAAAACAGAGGGCTATATTGCAGATATAATGTTCATCTGCTCCACAAAACAGCAATAACGCAATTTTTTTTTATTTTTTTAAATGTAGATTTTTAGGAGGGGGGAAGAGAGCCTTGTTTTTAAGAAGCACTCCAAACAACGTAACCAGCATTTGGCTAGTGGTGATCTTATTTATGGTATTGGCCAATGTTTACCCAAATGAGGGTATTAACTAGTGCTTATTTCATTAACAGTACTGGCAAGTACGGATCCTTTTTACTGTATTGGCCAGTGTTGATATAATTCACAGCGGGGTTTGAAATTTCCACTTGCCGCTAGCCACTGGCTAGTGAAAATGTAGTCCTGGCTATTAGACATTGACTCTTGCTGAATGTTCCATAGACCTTTTAAAACCAGGCCAGTTGAGAAAGACTTAAAATTTTAAGCTTAGATTTCCGGTATTGGCAAGTTTTGGTTATCTTCAGGGTATTGACCAAATGTGTATCCAATTTAAGGTATTGGCTTGTGATAATTCATTATGGGTACTGGCAAGTACACATCCAATTTATGGCATTGGCCAGTGTTGATCCCACTTAGGGTACTGACTAATGATTATTTCAATAATGGTACTGGCCAGTGTTGATCCCACTTAGGGTACTGACTAATGATTATTTCAATAATGGTACTGGCCAGTGTTGATCCCACTTAGGGTACTGACTAATGATTATTTCAATAATGGTACTGGCCAGTGTTGATCCCACTTAGGGTGCTGACTAATGATTATTTCAATAATGGTACTGGCCAGTGTTGATCCCACTTAGGGTACTGACTAATGATTATTTCAATAATGGTACTGGCCAGTGTTGATCCCACTTAGGGTACTGACTAATGATTATTTAAATAATGGTACTGGCCAGTGTTGATCCCACTTAGGGTGCTGACTAATGATTATTTAAATAATGGTACTGGCCAGTGTTGATCCCACTTAGGGTGCTGACTAATGATTATTTCAATAATGGTACTGGCCAGTGTTGATCCCACTTAGGGTGCTGACTAATGATTATTTCAATAATGGTACTGGCCAGTGTTGATCCCACTTAGGGTACTGACTAATGATTATTTAAATAATGGTACTGGCCAGTGTTGATCCCACTTAGGGTACTGACTAATGATTATTTAAATAATGGTACTGGCCAGTGTTGAATTTGGAGTTATTGATCAGTACTTATGATGTAAAATGTAGATGTTGATGGCCCCATTGTAATACACACTGATGGGAGTATTCAAGGTTAGTGATTTGAGTAACACACGCAAGGATGGCTTGTTCTGTGTTAGGGATTATGAGGATAATATATATATATATATCTGCTGGTGTAACGAGAACTCCTGGAAAATAATAGTAAAATACTAGCAATGCTAATGGCTATGCTGCGTTATTCAATAAATTTGTGATATTTCATGTATGAACGACACACCCAGAGAGGGAAAATAAAAATACTCTGTCTCTCCATCTCTCCCTATCAGATACACTCCCTCTCTTTCTCTCCCTCTTACTCTCTCTCAATCCATCAGTCTGTCTCATTCTCTACTTCAATATATATAAATCTGATTGTCATCATTCTCACACACATAAATACAAAGACAGTCCTAGACAATCCGGTGCATAGAGCTAGTATATCACAATATTTTTGTGTGCACATAAATAATAATAGCAATTTTATATTATATATATATATATATATATCTTCACTGTTTCTCTCCAATGCATTTGATCATCTCATCAAGTCCCATGGCTTAACCAATCTCTTTTCATGCTCAGGATAAAAAGAGAAGAACTTCAAAGCAGGTTCAGGTAATTAAGAGCTGAGGGGAATATAATTTAAACCACAGGCCTTGCTTTGCACCCAGGTCTGCGTTCAGAGCCAGCCGGCAAGGGAGGGACTATTCCCTGCTGTATCCAAATCTGCTTCCTCTGAACAGCTCTGCCAGGCCTCCAGTTATCACATCTGCATTTCAAACAGCGTGTCTCTGGCATTAATTATTAATTAGCCTACAGTCACCCCAGAGGATTTAAGTTCCAGCCTGCACATACTTATTCATTGACCTCTATCTTAGTTTTTTGTTGGAAAAAAACCTCTCTAGAATGTCTAATAATTTCCTTTCTCTCTGAATTCTCACTTAGAATTTTGCAAGTGATGTGCAGTGCAGCCGGAGTCACAGAGCCTAGAAAGAGGCGTCCAATAACCTTCCCTAAAAAAATCAATTTCAGTTGCGCAACCATGTCCTGCCAGTCAATAAATTGTTCGACTCTGTGGTTCCATCCCAATAACATTAGTGTTACTGTTGCCTAATCAACTCTGGATAAGGCTTCAAAGTGTTAATCCTTACATAGGAATCAAGGTATCAATCCCTGTGTTTAGATGAACGACTTGCTAGGTTTTTACCCCATTTTACAGTGAACAGATTCACACAGCACTCCAGAATATGTTGGTGCCTTATAAATAATTTTAAATAATAATAATACTTATGCATTACAACATCATTTAAATTAAATATGCCCTTTAATCGACTCTGTATCGATGCTGTAAATTATAAAATGTAAAAACACCTGGACAAAAAAAATTATGTTTACTATTGATAACACCAAACCTAGTCATGTGACAGAAAGAGAGGACAATAAAAAGTTTAAAAAAACAAAAAAAAATACCAAACTAAAAACAAAAACCAAAAAACTTAAATGCAACTAGAGAAATATGTGTAAAATCAGAGTGATTGCAAAATGAAGAGATTTTAACTCCGAAAGACATCTGATTGGCTGGGCTGTTCCAGTTTTTTGTTTGTTTTTATTGAAGACTGTTGATGGGCATTGTTTGACATTGTTTGATGTGGTCATTTCATTCTTTAAACTCCCGGGATATTAGTAATTAGGAGCTGGCACCAATTAGTGTAATAGTAACTGGACTTTCCTCTGGTTATTTTTAGGGCGTGCTTTACTGTACAAGAAGAACTGGACCTCCCACTGGTACCTAGGGGGCATGTTTAATATTATTAAAGACCAGGCATCTCTCGAGTAATGGGAGTACTGGGATTAATACTACTTAGTACCTGACATTTAGTACAAGACATTTTGCTGCCTAACATCTCTCTTCCTTCTAATCAGCCAGTCAAACGTACATAATTGCCCACACACATACATACGTGTATATAATATAATAAGGCACACACGTAAAACTAACCATCACATTCACATACTTAGTAACACATTTAAACACCTACACATCAACACATAGTCACAAATACACACACACACAATACATCCCTCTGGTTGTGTCATTAGGATGGCACTGGCATCGCTATGGACCAAGAGACTGAGAACTCCCTAAAAACACCCATCTCATAGGGACCCGGGGGTGGGGGTAGATATATCCTCCTGACACCTTTACTGATAATTCTTAAGCTATGCACTGGGCTTCGTTATTAGAAGATGTGGAAGATGAGGAGGCAGGTTCATGGCTGTATCATGGTTTGGAGGGTGTCTCATGTCCCCCTTATTTGTTAATATTTATTTATGTATTCATTCATATCTATTTAGTTTAACTATTTAATTGCTGACAGTTTAATGTAATCTGCTTTTTGGTGCTTTTCCTCAAGGAACAAAACTTCATAGTCAGTCAGCTCAAGGAGAGATTTAATAGTCAGTTCAAGACAATTTCATATGGTCCTTATACCTCCCTACTATTGGTGCTTTGAGAGTAGCATGAGTATGAGATAGACTTCAAATATCCATCTTGCGCTATGCTCACATAGCTTTAGTCAGGCGACTTTGATAGACTGAATTGGAGAGACCATTTTAATAAACTGAATTGGAAAGACCTTTTTAATAAACTGAATTAAAGAGACCGTTTTAATCAACTGAATTGGAGAGACCATTTTAATAAACTGAATTGGAGAGAACATTTTGATAGACTGAATTGGAGAGACCATTTTAATAAACTGAATTACAGAGACCATTTTAATAAACTGAATTGGAGAGAACATTTTAATAAACTGAATTACAGACACCCTTTTAATAAACTGAATTGGAGAGAACATTTTGATAGACTGAATTGAAGAGAACATTTTAATAAACTGAATTGGAGAGACCATTTTTAATAAACTGAATTGGAGAGACCATTTTTAATAAACTGAATTGGACAGACCATTTTAATAAACTGAATTACAGACACCCTTTTAATAAACTGAATTAGTGAGACCATTTTAATAAACTGAATTGGATAGACAATTTTAATAAACTGAATTGGGGAGACCATTTTAATAAACTGAATCAGAGAGACCATTTTGAATTAAATAGTAATTGGTTTGTGGTCAGGCAAAATGCTGTACCCGTATGAGTTAGTTGGATGTTTTTAACGCAAAATCAACTGAAACTGTCTCGATTATGTTAATTAATTCAGCAAAAACATTGTTAGTGAACACCGCCAGCGTGTACAATTTTCTCCAAGTCACTTATTACACACAATTAGACATTGCACGTCCGTGGATAGACCTTTCTGTTTTGGTTTGGTCTTTTTGTTTTGGTCTTTGCTGTTTGTCTAGCTCAGCAAATCTCAAATCTTACTGAAAATTTGAGGGTCATGTTTTATTTTAAAAAGGAAATCTGTAACCCTAATTTTTTTTCTAAGAACAATATGGAAATATATGTCAACATATTTATGTCCTGTCTGTGCTGTGGTATTTCGAGGTGTACTTTTGCTTAATCCGAATGACTGTTTACTGTAAATCTATATGTTTTCTTTGGTTACTTGCAGGCTACGTTGATGTCATCAGTTATGGTGGGATTAGCATGATGGACCATAAAGCAGAGAGAAAATACCAAGTTAAGAGAAGAGGGACTACGACCATACTCTTTATGTTAAAAATTGTTGCCCACCCTTACCCCCCTTAAAAGCATGAAAAACTCACCTTATTTCAAGCGTTGTGTGGGTCCGCCGGCACTGGGCCCTCCTCCTTGGTGACATAATCAGAATTGCCGGTTTTTAGCCAATCCAATGCTTTGCCAAGAGGGCGGGACCAAACACCGTTTTGGCCAATCAGAATCAATGCATCTCTATGAGGAAAATTCAGGATCCCCATGCAGAGCGTGGGGACACTGAACGGCAGAGCTACCTACTGTGCAGCACTGAGTCAGGAAGCACCTCCAGAGGCAATGTAAACACTGCCTTTTCTCTGAAAATGAAAATGCCTGAAGGTAATGATTAAACTCACCAGAACAACTACATTAAGCTGTAGTTGTTCTGGTGACTATAGTGTCCCTTTAATAAGTAAAAATCATGCTATTTCCAATTTATGAAAACAGAAAGCCATGGACAACATAATTACAAATGTATTTTGCATTTTGTCCAGACCGCTATTTTAAAAAAAACAATAGCTTTTTGTTAGTCAGGGATGGAGGCAGGAACATTATGATAACACCTTTTTAAAATGGATTATCCAGAAAGTGGCCCTAGGTGGTTTCCTAGGGCCCAGAGGTTAGACAGTGTCCCTAGTACCATGAATTTGGTTGGCTTTATTAACCATCTGTATGTGAAAACTTATGGGGGGGGGGGGGCACAAACTGGTAGCTGTCCGATGGCTGTTAATCCTTCTCTGATTTATATCCAGAGGTATCTGCTTCTGTGTGCGCACAAAGTACTTCTTTAAGTGCCAGTTCGAAACTGTCTTGTTTTTCTTATTATGCAGTGCGTGGAATGTTCAACACTTAATAGCTGAATAGTTAAAGAGTCCCTCAATAATAGGTAACATATTACTTTTACAATATAGTTGTGGTCTGGAGGGCTAGCAGTGCAAGACTGAAAAAGTACAAAGGTCATCCAGTCTTTCTTCCCAGAGTGACAGAAAATGTCATTTTCAAATGTTTTCTTTCATTATTTGACCCCAAATCCTCCACTAGCAGCAATTGTAACTCTGTAGAAGGTTATATAAGGTTTAGAACTGTGAAGAGAGCACAGCATTGAGAGAACAGCTAAAACCAGATAGGAGCTGTTTCCCTTTATGTTGGTAACTGTAAGGACAGGCTGGGCCTGGATAACTTAAATTAAAATTACAAAAACAAAGAATTTAAAAGGTGAATTTTCAGCGACAGCTTCTTAGCACCATAACCACTACATCAACCTTTAGTGGTTATGGACTTGGTAGGTCTACATTTCCCAGTTCTATAATATTTATGTGGTCTTTTATTGTTAATGCAGAGTTTGTATTATGCATTATTTTGTTTTAGTTATTTTTCGGCTAACATTCAGACTGTCTCTTTGTGTATGTCCCAGAATGAGTGTTGTATAGGCCTCAGTGTCCTCTTAGTGTCTATACCAGGCTTCCCCAAACTCCGACCCTCCAGATGTTGCTGAACTACAACTCCCATGATTCTATAAATGAAATAGATAGGCTGAGAATCATGGGAGTTGTAGTTCAGCAACATCTGGAGGGCCAGAGTTTAGGGAAGCCTGGTCTATACCAACCAGTGACTGGCAATGCGGGCATCTTTAAACCAATGGTCAACTATACCGAAGTGGAGGACACCTTATTTTTCAGGCAAGGTCCCTCATAGCCATTCCAGGCATTCTGTCCTGATCTTCTTCCATCAGACAGCCATAGTAATTATTGTAGCATTACTTGAAGTGGTTTTCACCATTGATGTCACCCTTGCAGCCTTTCAAAATGGAAACAGTGCCATGGCTAAGAAATTGCACTGCTCCCACTTTGTAGTTGGCACGTCTACTAGTGACTGAGTCAGCAGCTATGTTAGATGCACACCAGTTGGACCAGGTTAAATCCAGGTAAAGAATTGAGTGAAATGGTAATAAAATAACAAGACTGATGATAAAGAGTTTGCTTTATTCCACTTGTGTTCACAGTAATATTGTCTAGTATTAGCAGTCCAGTCATGTGTTCCTCCTTCCTATGCTCTTAGCCGTGCGTTAATATTGTCTGAACAACATTCAAATAAAGCTTGTTTGTTCCCAAAACTGATTAAAAGACTGTTGGCCATTTGTGTCTAAATAACCATGTCCATTTACATTTTGTCTGTATTTGTATCTACAGGAGAAATATAAAGTAAAACAATCTATAGAACTCTATAACTATAAAGCTATATACTGAAGTGATTTTGAGCTGAATCTTATCTTACATTATGTGTTTATACATTCATCTATTTCTCATGATCTAAATGCTATTTTAATGGGCATGTTGTGTGTTCAAATTCAATACTGCTCTGTGAGACGTCACACTGTGCAATATGAGCTAACTGTAGTAGCCATTTGCTCTCTTTTTGTACTGAGGCCTCCGTGCAATATTGAGACAAACATGCCTTAGGTTTCCTGAGTTCCATTTTAAATTGGCAGATGTATTTTGTGACTGGGAAGGGTTGGGAAGAGAGTCAGACATGGTTTGTGTTTCCCCCCTCCTTTTTACCCTGCATTTAGGAGAAGGAGACAGTAGTAACCAGTGCTAAGGTTAGAGTGCTAAAGGACAGGTTATACAGTGTTCAACATGTTACAAATCAATGACTGCGCAAACAGTCTTTAAAGGTTTCATGAATTATGGTTTCATTGGGTTGGTAAGTAAGGCAAATCATTTTTAGGCATTTTGTACTTTTATGGAAATACCTGAGTAATTACTGTTATGAAAATGTAGTTAATTATAAATTATGTAGCAAAATGAATGATCATCACTTACTAATCATATATTGTATATTATTGTAGATGTCGACTGACACATACCACGAGAGAAACACAACGACCACTGACTACCTCGAGTCTCTTCCAAGATGAATGGCTCTAAGTCACACTGTGTCATCCTGCTGACAGTCTAAATGCAAATTGAAAGTGAAATCTTGTATTACGAATCGTGATACATTTAGTAAGCTCTAATTTAGCGCCAAGCCCACGACCTGGTACGTCATGACCCTTAGTAACTTTCTAGCAAGGAGAAAATGTGGCAAAGATCAGAATTTGGTGACATTAGGGAAAGTTTGCTTTTAAAAAAAAAGTGGTTCTTTTAGTCAAGTGATTTTCTAATTTTTTTTTTTTTCATACGTGCCTTGTTGTGCCTTTGTGGATAATCCCACATCATTATTCACTTAGCTGTCTGAGCTTCTCTCACTCCTCCTTCTGAGACTGCAAGGGCACCTCAGCGTACGAAAATGGGTGGCATAAATTAACGGGGGAGGAAAAATCATGCAAATCCGGCAAAGATGGATCGTTACTTTGAGTTGGTGAGGATTTGGGAAGGTGACAGATCTGCTTTAATATGGAAAAATATTCCTATATCTCCATATGGCTTACTAAAATAGCACCAGATTGAGCTATCAATGTGGAGGACTGTTTGTTATACAATTTGCAAACAGGAGAAATGAGAAATCTTTCCAGGGCGTGCTATGATATATATCCAATATAAATCTGTGAATTATGTAGAAGGTAGACTATATATTTAAAAAATATATATTTATTATACTCTTCCATTTAAAGTAACAAAATGCATTCATTTGTAACCTAGATATGTGTAAATCTTAAAAGTTTAAATAAATCATCGAAAAATAGAGAAAACTGGAATATTATGCAATATGTACGTTGATTAGCCACTAAAAGTTGATATTTTCTGATATATAGAAATGCTTGATCTTCTCTTCACTTTAAAAACAATATGAATTAAAAAAATAATAATAACATACAGAAGACGAGTATTGGTCGATAGTGATGTCCCGATCGGTTCGCCGAACGGTTCACCACGAACGGTTCGCCATGAACGGTTCGCCACGGACTCCAGTCAGCAGACACATTCCAGCCAATCAGCAGCAGACCCTCCCTCCCAGACCCTCCCACCTCCTGGACAGCTCACTAAGAATGCGGCTTCAAAATGGATGCTGTCCAGGAGGTGGAAAGGTCTGGGAGGGAGGGTCTGCTGCTGATTGGCCGGTTTGTGGCGAACCGTGGCAAACCGTTCTCGAACCGTTCCGGACATCACTATTGGTAGAGTATAGTTACAAAACTACTGAATTAAAATTGATAAATTAAGCCATAGTAATGTATATATATATATATATATATATATATATATATATACATTCACAACTACAAAATACCAATGGAATGGTTATGCTCTCTTTAGAACTATGCCCTGAAGTTCTTGTTTCTAAATAATGTTTTAGATTTTGATTGCATTTTAAACCCAGTTGCCCTGTCTAGTCTTACATATGCTTAAGCCTCTCTGACAACGACCCACCTCCTATACTTTTAGAGAACACAGCTGTGACTGTCACACCCTGCATGAAAGAAATGGCTTCACTTTAAATCATATTGTAACTTATTTTAAAAGTTTTTATCTCCTGCTCTCCAAATTGAACTTTAATCACATATAGGAGGCTGCTGCAAGCAAGCCATTAACAGAGCAGGAGATAAGAAATTTTAAAAAAAGGAAGTGTAAACATTAGCTGACTCTTTACAGGAAGTGTTGTGTGAGTCACATGCAGGGAGGTGTGACTAGGGCTAAATAAACAAAGTGATTTAACTCCTAAATGGCAGAGAATTGAGCAGTGAGACACAGGGGCATGATCTATACATCAAAACTGCTTCATTAAGCTAAAGTTGTTCTGGTGACTATAGTGCCCCTTTAATGCTTCTTAATGTATCAATCTCAGAATGCAAAATTAATATTGACTCAACTATCACTAAAACCAAAATCAATAACGAGAGCCAGCACTCCTCTAAGCCAAGTCCTGGTGTAATTATCCAGGAAACCTTGAATCTACTCAAATGCAACAAGAACAATGAAGATGGTCGCCACAATCTGATGGAATAAATTATTTTACTGCAACTTTACCCAGTGATGGTAACAATTGAACTAGTAATGCTGCATAGTGAATTTATTCTACAGTTGGTGTAATAAAGGGGAACGGTAGAAATAAGACAATTGAATACAATCCCCTATAACTTGTGTTAACCTTTTTTCGTGAGATGTGCTTTTTAAAAAAAATAAATTTATATTAAAGATTTAGCAAATGACATCCCAATCTAGTACAGTCTTGGCACAGTCAGGGCATACATTTCAAATAAGGAAGTGAGAAAGAATCATTTGTTTACATTTGTATCTCCTCTGTAAGCTTTCTCTATGCTGACTGCCAAATGCAAAGGACAGAATTTTTAACAGTGATTGACAGGAGCTAAGATGGAGGCGCCCATGCGCACAATAAAGAGTCATGTTATGTCCTTTTATGTTTCTTTCTCACACTTCACAAGTAAACATAATATTAAAAATCCTGGGTAGGAAGTGGCTTTCATGTAAATAATATTGTTTAATATATTGCTGTTTTCTATTCAGCAAATACAATAAATAACCTTCATAAAAAGCATAGGACGCGTCTGTCTTATGCTAAACATTTAGCAGAAAAATAGAAAAATATATCAGTGATGCACAGCCTCTAGGAATTCTGTTAAAATTTAGGTAATCAGCTAAAACTGTCCTGATTTCCATCAGCATGTCAGGCAGTCAAAAAAATCTAGTCCTCCTACAACTTGCTGAACAAACACGATACACTAAACTATCCTCTAGGTGCAAAGGAATTAGAATGTTATCGCTCTCATTAAGTATGTCTTTCAAGTTCTACACAGTTCGTACCTAAACTCAGCATCGATCTAGAACCTAAGGGGTCCCCAATTACACCACCTGGCTGCTGTGATTACTGGTAGTCTTTCTGATTACATTGGGCAATTATGCTTTTTTAGTATTTACTGTACGAGTAAAGAGCATTTGGTAAGGTTCATCCCCGATGATTAGAGTGAATGAAGAAGAATTAGTGCTATGTTGCAAAAGGATTCTTTTTGTTTCTATTACTTATTGAATGATTGAGAGAATGAGAGTGATACATATGTACAAATGCCCAGATGTACACATACACTTAAAGGACCACTATAGGCACCCAGACCACTTCAGATCAATGAAGTGGTCTGGGTGCCAGGTCCCTCTAGTTTTAACCCTCCAGCTGAAAACATAGCAGTTTCAGAGAAACTGCTATGTTTACACTGAGGGTTAATCCAGCCTCTAGTGGCTGTCTCACTGACAGCCACTAGAGGCCACTTCCGCGATTCTCTGTGTGAAAATCCCAGTGAGAAGACGGTGATGTCCATAGGAAAGCATTGAGTAAAGCTTTCCTATGGGCAGTTTGAATGCGCACGTGGCTCTTGCCACACATGCGCATTTGGAGCTGACGTCTCCCCCAGCAGGAGGGGGGCCATGAGGGTGGGGGGGACCTAAGGACTACATAGTGCCAGGAAATTGAGTTTGTTTTCCTGGCACTATAGTGCTCATTTAAACACAGATACTTGAAAAAGGCTGAGATTGAATTTTAGGATTTGTTGGATTCGTATTGGGCAGATGGTCAGCGTCTCAGCATGAACAGACACATTATTAGGGTATCAGTTTTCCAAAGTGAATGGGAAGATTTTCAGAATCTCAGAGTGAATGGGCATATTATCAGTTTCTTGAAGTGAATAGGCAAATTATCAGAACTTCAGCGTAACTGGGCAGATTGTCAGAATCTCAGAGTGAATGGGTGGATAATCAGTGCTGTTGAAGTGAATGGGAGTGGATGAGTAGATTATCAGTGTCTTTGAGTGAATGGGCAGATTATGGAGGTCTCATAGTGAACAGGATGATTATCAGAATCTCAGAGAGAATGGGTACATTACTAATTGTCTAAGTGAATGGGCAGATAATCAGAGTCTTAGACTGAATAAGTAGTTTAGCAATGTTTTGGATGTAAATGGGAGTAAAAGAATAGATTAATAGGGTCTTGTATTGAGTGGGTAGATTATCAGGGTCTAGGAGTGAATGGTCAGATTATCAGTGTCTTGGATTATCAGGGTCGCGGAGTAAATGGTTAGATTATCCATATCTTGGATCATCAAGGTCTAAGGAGTGAATGGTTAGAGTATCAGTGTCTTGGATTATCATTGTCTCGTAAATGAATGGTTAGATTGTCAGGGTCTTGGAATATCAGGGTCTCTGAGTAAAAGGTTAGATTATCAGTATCTTGGATTATCAAGGTATATGGAGTGAATGGTCAGATTATCAGTGTCTTGGATTGTCATTGTCTCGTTAGTGAATGGTTAGAGTATCAGTGTCTTGGATTATCATGGTCTCTGAAGGGAATCGTTAGATTGTCAGGGTCTTGGAATATCAGGGTCTCGGAGTAAAAGGTTAGATTATCCTTATCTTGGATTATCAAGGTATATGGAGTGAATGGTCAGATTATCAGTGTCTTGGATTGTCATGGTCAGAAGTGAATGGTTAGATTATCAATGTTTTGGATTATCAGGGTCTCAGAAGTGAAAGCTTGGAGTATCAGTATCTTGGATTATCAGGGTCTCAGAAGTGAATGGTTAGAGTATCAGTGTCTTGGATTATCATGGTCTCTGAAGTGAATGGTTAGATTATCCGTATCTTGGATTATCATGGATGTAGGAGTGAATGGTTATATTATCAATGTTTTGGATTATCATGGTCTAGGAGTGAATGGTTATATTATCAATGTTTTGGATTATCAGGGTCTTGGATTATCATGGTCTAGGAGTGAATGGTTATATTATCAGTGTCTTGGATTATCATGGTCTAGGAGTGAATGGTTAGATTATCAATGTTTTGGATTATCATGGTCTAGGAGTGAATGGTTATATTATCAATGTTTTGGATTATCAGGGTCTTGGAAGTAAATGGTTATATTATCAGTGTTTTGCTATTAATTGTCAAATTAACAATTTCTTGAAGTTTCTTTTAGCAGAGGTGAGTAATAACTCAATAATAATCATTTGGCCTTAAACAGTTAGGAAAACCTAATATCCAGCTGGTTGATAAAATATGTTATTTGCTCCTATGAGGTTTTTTAGTGTTCTATTAAAATTCTAAACAACTTTTATCAATTCATCAAGAAAATCCCACACATTAATCATGGACATCAGCACAAATTGATACACTCATTCATGGTCAATGTGATAAAGTGTTAAAGTTGACATGACTATCAACTGTGTCTTTTGTATAATCTGACTTTATTGGTGATTAGTCATTGAGATCCCAGAAAGCAGCATTTATCTAATCACTGAGTATGATCCCTCGCCCTTTAAATCTAGAATATCTTTACAGGGAAGAGATCTGTAATTTGATATCTTTCTTCGGAGCCCTATAACGTATTAATCTGTTCCTCACCGGGGTCAGGGAACCCAGATCCGATTAATATTATTGAAAAATCAAATGGAAAAAAAAAAATTTCATTCATCATAGCATATTAAATCAAGCTAATGTCATGTCACCTGTGTTGAAAATAAAAATGTAACGTTTTATAACAAAAATACAGTTTCTATATTTTTTAAAGGTGATTAGCAAGGTTTCCGTATCTCACCTCGATGAATTCAGTGTAAAATACTGGAATATTTTCATTAGCAATTAAAAAGTGAACAATCCCAGCACTAAATAGATCCTGTGCTGCTGGAATCTGAAGGCACCAATCATTCACGGAAAGGGCAATGCTTCTGCCTGGCAGGGTTTATTTCCTGTGAACCGAAGATAATGGCTTTGTTGAATGCACAAATAACTCTCACATTGTGCTGCTTGTCGGTTACACCCCACTCTCCACCATAATCCCAAACATGCCCTCTATCTGTAACCCCATACATTGGACGTGCTGCGCACAGGAACTTGGAAAATGGCAGCGGACAGGAAAATAACAAGAAGTAAAAACACTGCGGTGACGCAAATTTCTGTTACACAGAAATAATAAGCATGCTCTTCGATATTAATTAACATTCATTAACAAGCAAATGGTGTGATAGATTATTGTGCACATTTTCACAATCACTAGTCCAATACTAGAACCTAGAATGTATAGTGTAGTGATACTGAGGTTGGTAATATCTATTTATTGAATGCATTTATTTATTTATATTATGCAATGTGTGCAAACAGAGTGAGCAGATTTGTTTTTCTATTTGTAGCCAAAACATAAATGGCACTCACATACCGCGATGTCATGGCCTGGGCCCCTGATTGCAGATGTATATAAATTTCATATTTATATATTTAATAAATATATAACATAAATATAGATTTTTTTTTAACTGCTCCCCTGTTTTCCCTCTATTGGCTACTTCTTTAACTTAATCTATAAAACAAATGGTGGGAAAATGTGCAATATACACATATATATATATTACAATATATTACAATATACAATATACAATACATTATTTATGTTATGTGTATATTATGTAGTAAAATGATTGGCCCATTTTTATGTCTTTTTGGTTTTTCTGAAAACTATTCCATGGTCAAAATCCACCCGACCTAAAACACCATGTAGACGAATACCAAAATTTTTTTTTTCGGTGGAATCAATTTGGCCTAACCAATTTTGTTCCACCGTGCAATGGTCTAATGATACAGTTCTTAAGAAAAGCTTTTTTTTAAAATGTTCATTTTGATAAATGATCATTTGCATTTCATCCGCTAATCCTTTATTCTGAAATTGAACATACTAAAGGTCAGTGGAGAGGAACAAAAATTCTATGTTGTATTTTTATACCAAGAATTGTTTACTCAAATCTTGGTAGTTTTGTGGCCTTGTCCTTCTGTCTATGTCTCTTTTCTTGTGTACATTCTTAATTTCTATCCCTCTCTTTTTCTACACTACACACTCAACACTACGCACTCTCCCACTCTCTCTCTTTCTTTTTATATACTCTCATCTCTCTCTTCCTACACTGTGCAATCTCACTGTGTCTCTCTTTATATTCTACATGCTCTCTCTCTTTTTACACTGTACACACTCTTTCATCCACTACACGTTATTCCTCTTTCTCACACTATTCCACTATTCCTGACTTTTATCTTTCCTAATTCTATACTAAAAACCCTTGATCAGCCCTTCTAAACCTCATTACTCTCTCTTTGAACAGACTGTATCCAGACTATCTCCTACTACACTATTTTCATCTTCTCTCTCTCTCTTTCTCTCTATTTTCTTTACTCTCTTACTTTTCATTTTTACTCTATTTTTTTTTTTTTTTAATTGTAAAATGAAGATACAAAGCAGTTAGTTACTTTTGATATGTCAACAATTTTTTACGATTCTTAATCAGATAAAGCTACAGGAATGGAAATAACTATTTTGGGATTTATAAAAAACACAAAATAACACCGGACTTAGCAGGGGATGTCAAATATGCCACCAGTAATCCCTTCTAAATTTGTCCTGGACAAAGCAGAATAAAAATAACATACATTCTGCATATGAACATATGTTTGTCCATCGACTTCGAAATACAAAATACTTAGAGACACCTTTAACCCACATAACATTTCATACCCGCAGGGACCAATGGATTAATGGCTGTGCTGAGAATTTAATACATGTTGTGTTTAATGTCTAGGGAAATTTAATGTTCATCAGAATGCAAGAAACACTAAGGATACCGTGCATGAATTCTCTCTCCGTGCTAACGTTTTGGAAATTATGCTGGAAAAGGTTGTGTTTAATCTTAAAATATAGTTCTTTTAATTCCTTATTTGTTGCTCACAATGTAACCTCCCTTCCCCCCGCGACCATACTATAAAGCATATTGCACAGAACCTCCATTAATCCTACATTTCCGAGATAGTATCGATGCCGCAGTAGGTTTCCACAGAAATTAATTTGTCCTGACAACAGGGCCTAAATATTGGAGTCCAGGGATCTCTTGGCAAATTCCCTTTTAACTGAGCACAATAATAAACAGGAGCTGATAACAACATCTCTGTAAAAGACCACACAGAGGAAGAATTCAGGATAGGTTGGTTGTTTAGATGTGTGTAAATAGCCATGAGAACCAGTTATCGGGGAATGCTATGCATCTTGCTTGGGGAGCAAGCAAGAAAAGATGAAGCAGGTCTCATTGTTCTGTCTATTGCTTGGATACAAACCATCTCTCTCTTTAGTTCATGAATTCGACAGCAATGAAAACCATGCCATATTTCTCAGGATTATAATTTTATAATTATTTGCTCATCAAAAAGGCTTTGTTGCAGGGGGAAAACTACGAAAGGTACAATTTTCATATGCGAAACGCCCCGGGATTATGGTAAATTAATATTACTGTATATAAGGTGGAATAAAACACTCAATAAGATCGATGGATGGATGGACAATTGTTTGGGCTGTAGCTGCTGGTGTCTAACTCCTAGAACTGTCAGCCAACCAGAGCTTGGTTAGGGGGCTGGGATTTTGGATCATTTAACTGTTTGTATTGTTATACAACTATGTGATCTTTGGAACATCTATTGCCCTTCTTCTGCCTCTCTGGAACCACTTTAAGTACAAAGAAACCCATTTCCTCCCAGTAACTGGACAAGACCTAGTTCTGGAGGTACAACACAATTTTATTGGCCACACACAGCTTTTATGCATGACCCCATGCAAGGGGTTTAACACACAAACATACAGGGTCACATCCCCGGATCCCCCCTTGGTTCCTAGCGTGGGAAGGGACTCCGTTCCCTTTGTCTCAAAAGCCCACCACTAAATCCACAGGGTTCCCAACACCAACCGCCAGGGGTCTTCTTCCACAGAAAAAGCCCGCCCGGGGCCCGCCCGGGGGGAAAGAGCTGGTCTCTTTGTGCCCACAGGCACCAACAAGCCTGCCACCCTCGCCAGTGCCCCAGAAGTATCCACACCAACCTCAGGGACTCACGCAGCTGTACCTTTCTCAGCCAGTCCCCACTCGCGAGGTCACTGTGTGAAACCCTGCAAGGGAAGTATCTTCTTTCAGAGTATGAATGCTCCCCCTGGACGGCATTCGTCTATACGAAACGGTGGCCACCCAGGGGAGCACTCATTAATTACTTCCCTTGAAGTTTCACACCTATGTTGTGAGTTTGAACGTTCTGAGTAATTGGTGTGAACGTTCTAATGGGGCATCGGGGAGGTCCTCATTTGGGAGACGAACGAGTCGGGAAACAACCCACAAATGCTCCCCCTGGTGGGAGTTCGCCTTTCCGAATGGCGGCCACCCAGGGAAGCACTCATTAATTGTTTCCCTGTTATTTGACACTTATGTTGTGAGGCCTGAACGTTCTAACCCAGCGTTATAAATGGGGCATTGGGGTGGTCTCCGTTCGGGAGGCGAATGGCTTACCTTCGTGGAAGCACTCCCGAATGGGGAGCGGGCACAAAACACGAAATTACAGGGGAAACACATGAAAAGACACAGGGAAATCCACAAACAGGCAGCGGTTCTGCCACACTATATACAAGGTGGAATAAAACACTCTATAAAATGGATGGATGGGCCGTAGCTGCTGGTATCTACCTCCTAGAACTCTCAGCCAACCAAAACTTGGTTAGGGGGCTGTGCTTTTAGATCACATAACTGTTTGTATTGTTTTATGGCTATGTAATCTTTGGAACATCTAGAAACTTAGATTTACATCTAAGGGAATATTTAATAAACAGCTATAAATTATCGGCTGAGTTGAAAAAATAATCAAGATGGAAAAGGAGCCAAGCTAGAGATTTGTTTCTACCCCAGATATTTTGCAACATGTTTGACACAATTCAATGATTACTGATCCCATGTGGCCGTACTTGCAATTACTACATACATCCCCTATTCCCTATAAACAGGTTAATGTGTATTCATTACAGAGTGAGTTGTGGTGACTTGGGCATAATATGTTTCTTCTCCTAATTATGTCTCTATATTTTATTGTTTTCTTTTGGGTCTTGTTTTCAACTAGCAGTTGTGTGACTATATAACCTAATGTGAAACTATAGGTGAAAGAACACTGCCTCCCTTAGAAACAAGTATCTGTTACGCACAGAATTAACATTAGCAGCCCGGAACTCTCATTGTGACACTACTAGACGTGGAATTACACTTTTTTTTCTGTAAGCTTTGTGTACTTTCCTTTTTTCACAATTGAACAAAATAACACATAAAATAAGGCAATTATAATTTATAACCATATTACATTTCGCAAACAGAAACAAGAAAACATAACAAAAAACCAACAGCAATATATATTTCTCTCTTTCTCTCCCCCATTCCTCTCCTCACCCACCAACTCAGCTCCGACTTCTCCATACCCCGTCAACGACCCTCGATACAATCATAAAAGATACAAATATCCAGTTCAAGTTTCACTTTAACCAGAGTTTGTAACTGAACACTGCACACACAAACTCCAAGCACCAAAGCCACTTTAAATTATTGACATGGTCGTGGAGTTTGGAGTAATAGGGGTACTGCAAGAGCCTGAAACGACCAATGTTCATACATGATATACCAATATGACTTAGTAGAAGCACAGACACTCTGTCGAGGTTTTCTATAAACAACCTTCCAAGACTATTTTAATAGAAGCTATCTTGTATTCAAAATATGACTATATTGTGTTGAAGCCCCCCAATTGTTAGAAAATGCTCCAACAGCAGTGGGTCCTAATATTTTTACATTATAACTACTTTTGTTAAGTTAAAAAACCCAACTGTTGTGAGTTCACCTATTTTCTTCTCATTCCTTGTTGCCAGAATAATGAGCTTCCATTTGTGGGGCATGAAAGATGATAAATTCAGAATAATATTTCAATGATGGATAGTCCGAGTGTGGGTGTTTGGAAAGGACAAATTCACATGCAAGGCTAAATGCCCAAGGTACTATTTTCTAACTAAGGACGTGAATGGTAGTTATGCCAACATGATCTCCTTAGGTTGTGAATTTTCCTTTCTAGCAATAGTTAGATCTGACTGACGGCATTTTTAAGATGTACTGATCATAATGGCAAACAGAGGTCAATCACTAGTTTTAGTAAAATAGAAGAGGAAATTACAGTTTAATTGGCTTGACCGCACACATATATTATAAAATATAAACAACTTTACTTTGCCTGAATACCTTTTACTTTGTCCAGATCATATTTGTTTTCATGCTTTACCCATTCTGTATAATATTTTCAATGCTAAATTGCCACATACCTGCTGTGGACCTACGTTCTGCGCTCATTGGAAGCTTATTGGCTGAGCATTGTTAGCCAATGAATGGAGCACTAAATCCCCAGGCCTAGCTCAGTGCAGTATCTTCTGGCTCTATGTGAAGCTGCGCATGACCCCAAGTAGGTTGTCAAACTGCTTTTAATGGTGGGCTGTAGTGGTTATGGTTCTTGAAGTTTTTCTTTAGAATTCTCCTAACTGTTTTTATAACCAGTACATGTATCATTTAATGAATGTGTTCCAAGAGCAGAGGAATATTAATTAGACACGTTCTATCTATGCCACTGGCATAATGGTATTAAAAGCAGATAAGGCAAAATGCATTTATAAAAACATCTAGACAAATATTCCAGTTTCATTAAGAAACTTAACACAGTAAATAAGTAATTGATATTTGATAAAAGGTCCACCTTGAACTATGCTTCAGTGCTGTGTTTCAGAGGTCATCTTGATTTTCTCACATTGTAATTTTGGACCTGTGGTCGTTACAATTTTGTTAAGTGGTAGTGAGCAATATCCCTCCACACTTTGGGTTAATTGTATTTAGTTTCCATGTTGTAGCTTCTCAACATTAATCAATATACATCCTCATATTTGGTGACTGCGGGGATTGTTTGAAGTGGAATAAGTGATGCAAGCATAATTGTAAATAGACATTCCCAAAGCACAGTAAGCAACGATGCATACCATGAATAAATTGGAGCTGTACTGTGCAGGAAACCGAGGAGTAACACAAAGAATGCTAAGAATAAAATAACAGTGAAGTAGAACAGAAATGTACGGGTTTCTCAAATCTTCAAAACCTATCTGGAAAGAATAATGGTTAGTAGGTCCCTTGACTTAAAAAAAATAAAAAAATATATTTTGACATGGTAGGGGTAACTCACCAAAAAATAAAAGTAATGACAACCTAAACTTAAACCTTATTGAGCATTGCGCCTCAACATATCTCTACAATATGACAACATTCCTTTTAATTAAACCAGAGGTACTAAAACTTACCATTCTCCCATTAAGGATATATATTCCCAAATTCTACCCCTTCTACTACTGGAAGCTGATCCCCTGATACATATTGAACAAACTAAAGTGTTCCTACTTTCACTGATTGGTACAAATTGGCTGAAAAGGGCTGGGAACCAATGCCACTGGTGGCATTGTAAAAAAGATCAATATAATATGGCGGAACATATTCAAACTTATTTTGAAACTTTTTTATTTTTAGTGTGAACCAAAACCTGTGAAAATGTTGCTTTACCTAGATCTTGGTTCTTTAACGGCTAAACTCAAAGTGTTATCCCTTCTGTTCTTTCTTGAAATGAAAATCATAATTGCCATAAAGTGGAAAAGAAGGTGACTTAATTTTGTGGAAAGCTGTTAGAAACCAGATACACTATCAAGGTGCGATGGAAAAGGGGTATAAACTAAATTCTACGATATATAGAATCTGTGGCTGGTAGAGTACCCTATAATTGAGAGTTCCTAAAATAATTTTAAATAATAGTTTAATATGCTTGAGGATTTAGTATCTGGCGTGCTGGGTAGGTCATCATTAGCAAAAAGGCTATTTGTATAGGGATGTACAACTGTAATTGTCACTGTTATTATAATTCAAATTTTAAAGATATTTCTTAGTGATTATTGCTGTATTTAAATGAACTAAAACAGTTAATGAAAAGGGAAAAAAAGGGATGAAAACATCTGACAAATGCAAGACCATGTGTTATCTGCTCAACATCGTTATAAAAGTTATTTGGCAATATGGCATAGCCGGCAGGATTGGAAGCCTACTTTTTAACACCTACTGGCCAATTTCATGCTCCCCCTCCGTATTTTCCATGTTTTGATTTTATTGGGTCTATCCAAGGTAATTTCTCTATCTTGTAGGGAAAGGGCAGCAGCCTCCTCCCTTATTCTGTCATTCGTTCTTGTCAATAATCTTTATTCCGTTACCATAGCTTTTACCTAACTGATCATGGGATAGTAGTGCAAGTGTAAACATCTGTTTTATGAAGGCTATTGTTTTCTTATTGTCATTTTTCTTTGCACTTAATACAAATGTTGAATCTAAAAAGCATAATGGCGTGATATTTGTTTTGGTGAAGGTCAATATATCCACGAATGTTAAAATTAAAAATGTATATTTCAGCTATCTTCCTGTATGCTTTCTATAATAATGGGTTAAATATTAGAATATGCAGACTACATACAAATGACATCACTAATATCTTCAGAGAGGGTTACGATCCTAGCCCCAAGCTTGATGAAGGTCTTCGTTAATGCCAGCTATCTACTCAACACAGCTTTCACCTGAGGGAGTTATCTTCTCAAACCCTTCTACATACCTTATTCCTCTCATTTGCATATTTTCAACAACTTAATGCAATAGTTTATCTTTTGAAACCTGAGTTTCTTTACCATTTACATACTGTCTTTAGCACCATATGTTTTACATCAAATTTGTTTTAATAACAATAAATGTTGATCTTCACTTTATCCACATTGTTTTGTTGTTATAGTACGCATTATGATTTGTTAATTATTGCAGATGGTCAATTTTATGTTTTCAAGATCTGTTGAAAAACTATTTGCAGATTTACCCAGAAAATAGTATTTCTAATGATTAACAATTAGCAAACTGACACAGGAAAGAGTATTTCCGATGACTAATTAAAATATCTATCTATCTATCTATCTATCTATCTATCTATCTATCTATCTATCTATCTGTCTGTC